GCCATTTTCCAACGCCCCTTTTGTGTGTTTCCACCTTGTATTCAGCACACATTCTTGGTGGAGAATATGCCTTCTCCCGAAACCCGGAGACCTTGGAGCCGTTGGTTCCGCATACTCAAATGAGTGTTTGCGATGGTGTTCGACGTTCCTATTTATGCCGCAGATAGAATTCTGCATTTTTAGCTTTAGATTTACATTTAATAGAGAAAACCCTAAAAAGGTTCTTAAACCTAATGTCATACCTAATATGTGACCATTTTAGGTTATATATATATATATATATATATATATATATATATGCATGTATATATACATATAATTTTGACGTCATGTATTTTCAAATCAATTTCAGCAGACAATCCAGACACGTTGAATCATCAAGTGCACGAAATATTCTCTGCTTTCCCACGAAACTGGAACATTTATGTTCTTTCCATTGTCTAGTTGTGGAGAACAAGACGTTTTGGGGTCAAAAATACCACACAAAAAACACCCAAATTTCAGACACTGACCCTGACTGTTATAAGTTGGCAAATCTGTTTTCACTGTCTGCGGGCCCGACCAATGCAAGTGGTGAGTCCAACACCTGTCCCCGTTCAGCAGATGTGTGGCTGGTCGAGCCGGCCCACCTGACGGCTGGCTGGCGCCGGCGCCGCCTCCGAGCTGGGGTTAGCACCGTCCGGTGCCGGACGCCGCCGCCGAAAGGTCACGTGGTCGGCCCGTTGGAGCGGCCCCAGGCGTGTCGTGGCGCGCTGTCTGGCAGAGGCTGGGCCCACAACAGACTGCTGGGGCTGAAAATAGGCGGCGGCGGCCACCAGCTGGGCTCGCGGCCGTCGCCGCTCCGACAGACACGAGCAATCTCGCGGCGCCCGCGGCCGGCGGCCGTCGGTCCAACCGCGACCTCTGGACAGCGCACGGACTGACGCAGGCTGACGTGCTGGGTGGTGGCGGCCGCAAACGAGCGGGGCCAGGCCTGAGGGGTTGCAGCTGGGCAGGAAGCGGTCTGATTATACGAGCGACCGTGCGCATTGGAGGCCAATGGGGCCCACCGCACGGGGCTCGTCCAGAAACATCCAGAAGAGTTAACGCTCTGAATGCGCAGGACGCTGGGCTCAGATGATTTAAACCTCAACATCTGGATGAGGGGTATCTGTTACTCGGAAGGCAACGAAAGATAGAAAGAGCTTCCTGTCAATACGACACCTGTCGTACACTCGTCTTTATAACGTTAAGATGGAAGAGCGTTATGACTCGAACTGCTCGCTGTGACATCTAATGGAGCTGTTTGAACTGAGTCGCTGCAATTGCTATGCAAGGCTCGGTAAAAAAGTAATTTTGTTTTCATCCATCCATAAAGACATTTCACGTGTGCGCTCTGTACACCCAATAAAGGACCCATGTGCTGTCCAAAACAGCGATGGGGTCGCTTAGAAGGGAAATATAAGGTTGAATGGATAAAGTATCTCCGATTGCCTCCGAGCGTTTCAAAAGGTGAAACGCACGATTCCGAAAAAGCTAGGCAATGGATGACAGGTCGAGTATTGTACAATGTGATGAACAAATGCCGTTCTTGGGCTGAAAGGAGGTACCTCAGCACTAGGTGTGCGTGTTCAACCCTTAAATAAGTAAATATTCGACAATCGATTAAGCTTTCATTTCTTTAGACGACATACCTCACGCAATGTTTGTCCCATCTGCAGCCTTAAATGACTTCCTGTTGTACCATCCAAAAAACTTTCCCATTTCCCAAATTCCTCTCAAATTTTCGCAAAAAGCTCTCAAAAAAGAACATGACAGTAGTGGGTTGTCTCTGCAGCCCATTCAGACGCGGATAAACGTGGCGAAACATAGCCAAGGTGTTTTGAAACTCTTGTCTGCGGCGTTGATCAGTTCAAACAAGAAACGCAAGTTTTCAACCCGTTAACCCGTCAGTTGATGATCCGCAAGAACCCTGGCAGACATGACACACCAGTGAACCAAGAACCCCGGCAGACATGACACACCAGTGAACCAAGAACCCTGGCAGACATGACACACCAGTGAACCAAGTTGCACAAAATGTACAGCTTTAAGTAGGCATCTCACAAGAAAATTAAAAAATGTCAACCCAATTTTTCAACACTCATTTCATTGAGCGGCAATTAGGCAGATCCTTGTAAAAAAAAGGGCGCGCGCTGCACTTGGATGTGGCGAGGGTGTGGTGCACTCAACCTTTCTTGGTGTGCACAAAAACGATTCCTCACAAATCACTATCAATCTCCATGATTAATGAAACGCATGGAAAACTGTAGGTCAACTAGCCTTAGCTTCATTGGTTTGTCAATACAGCCAGCAGCTACTGGCATATTAAATGCGTAATAACTGCCGAAACCAAGAAATTGGTGGCAAAGAGCTTTTGCCTAGAAAAGATGAGACTTGTGGCCGGGGCTACAGGGCACCCACACAACACAGTTCCCCCGCCCTGCCCCCCCCCCCTCCCCCTCCCCAGTTATGGCTGCTAGTATTTTTCAACATTTTTGGCACGAAGGCTTTCGTGCTATCCGATGTGTTCATTCTTTTCAAATATTGCATCTGCATGCAGTTCTTTGTGAACAAATCATCTCAATATATGACGTCAATGAGGCATTCTATAAAGATCAAAAGTTACGGTTTTCAGGCTTTGAAAATGATTTAGGAAGAGAATGTGGATAGAATTTCTGTGTAAATCATTTGAACAACTTGTATTTGTTTTCATAGAAGTTTTGTGCTGTAACATGCAACAATGTATCACAGTTTTCGACGATATTAATAAATGTCAATAACGTCAATGGAGGGGCAAATATTCGTGCACAAAACATTACTGCCATCCTTGCTTTCACGTGCCATTCACGCAGCATAACACGAACCACGCGGGAGTAGTCTTGGGCTTGAACGTGGATAGTGCTGAGGGAGAAATGTGGGCTATTTCAAAGCTACCATGTCGCTTCTTTTGTGATATGGTTGCATGATGTATCGATTTAAGGACAGTCAATACCACATAGGAGGCTGGCTCTGGTTCTTCAATGACAAATTGGACGCTGCAATTGTGACGCAGTCAAATGATGATTGATCTTATGTACTTTGTAATCATCTGATACATCCATCACTTGAAATATCCAGAATTGCTTCCCCGCCAGTGCAAAGTTATCTGTTGATTCATGCAATTTCGGAATAAATGGCCTGTGGTTTATTAAGAAGAGGTAGAAGGGCAAAACCCCAGGGACATTTTGGTGGTGGACAAATTTATTTCCACCCCCTTCTTTCTCATTTGCGGTTGAAAGCTGTTGTATTTTTATTATCACATTGTTCAAGATCTACTTCGGTGCGTGATAAATTCCATCGTGGTGGCACTTTGATTGCTGCTCTCCAAGTAACATCACGGGTGTTAGCTAGACAATGCTCTACATTAGGTGGCAATTACAGGCTAGTTTGTGCACGACGTAGTGTATATGTCTGAAATTAAGGTGTGATGATAAAATGCGCATTGCAGTTAATGAAAACTTACAGTCTGATAGTGAATCAGCATTAAAGCATAGTGGGCTTTTGCGGGCTGGATCACTAGCTAGGCGGGGTGGGCTGGGCTGCGGGCTGATATTTTTTCGGAAGGTTGCGTGTCTAATTTAAATCCACGACTGGTTTTTGGCAGCCCGCAGACAGCTTCAGTCACACTGTGCGCAGCTTGTGCACCGCTGTACAATATTCTCTCGTTGCCTACGGCCAAATGCTGCCTTCACAGCTTCCCTCCAGCCAGCCGCTGAAAGCATCCGCCCATAAACACCGCTGACACATTCCAGACGTGCTTCAGATAAAGTAAACGCTTGCGCATCATCATCTATCAGTCCGATGCTTGGAAGACGCCGGCGTCGATTGCTACGCCCCCCCCCCCCCCTGGATTTCCGGCGGTCTTACTGAGTCGAAATCGCCTTGTGCTCCCAGCTTCATCGCCAATCGCCAACTTGCACTGTCTGCACAACATTGACTGAGAGCCAATTGAAGTCCGTTATATCTGGAAACCGTCTTCACGAACGTCAGACATGAAGGACTCTGCAACAGCATGCTTCTTGGCCTTTAATGCAGCATGGTCAATAAGCGGCAAGCTTTGAATGACGTTTCTTTGGCGTTATGCACGCCTCAATGGTCTTGAGACAGTCTGCACATCTTCGCGGGCGTGTAGCCGAGAAACTAGAGTTTTAGGTCTTCACTCAAGGAGTGCCCTCCCCTTTATCCCAACGACGCGATAAACCGTACGTTCATACCACAAAATATAAATTCAAGTCGCGGCACTCCCAGCTAAGAAGTAGAAACAAACATAAAAAGGCAGGCGGAGAGGTGGTGCAGACACTGCAGGATTCGTGGCTTGCAATAGACGAGGACAAATCATACATGAGAAGACTTAAAGTAGTCATAGCCGAAGTCAGCTCATGACAGCCCGCTAGAACCAACTCATAAATTACTAGCGCTCATTCAGTGTTAATAAAGGTTATCAGTCTCATAAGTCGGAGGGGCCTGGTCATTTTCATGCCGGGTCTTGAGCTGGATCTCCAGGGAGTCCACCCAGCTAAGCGAAGCTTGTTGTTGAGGGAGCTCCCTCAACCAGCGCCATGAATTTTGTCATGATTGTATGAATACGGATGAATCAGAAGTTCGATCCGACTTGCAGTTCCGTGAAGGCAGTTGAATTAAAGGCAGTGAACGCAGATCTGGTACATGCTCGCTGCCTCGTTCTTTTTTATCACTAATGGACGTGGCATCAGAGGGTGGTGGAGCCAATGACCCGTCCTATACTACGATGCGGAAGGTGGCAATATCACCGAAGCTGGCGAGGGGAAAATTGTGAGGAAATAGTGGAGGATATCCCGTGAACCGTGGCCTTATTCGTTAGCCGGATGGTCCTGACCAGTAAGGGTGCTGCGTATCAGTGCCGGCTACAAGCCCGTAGACCAAATGAGCACACCATGCATAGCAGGTTTTAGTGGAGAGCCCACCGGTGATATTGGCATGCCTTAGACAAAGCTGTGACGCCCCACTGACGTCATGGAAAACCTAGACTATTCGACAACGGCATCGGCTACTAAGACGATTATGCTGCATTGATTCTTGTATCTTATTTTCGGTGCCGACTCTGACACTTCCGCGCAGCGAAAACATCCAACATAACGTACATGAAGTTGTGTTGTCAAAAAGGTCGCTTATACACTCAGCCGGAGCGGCTCAACGGCTACACAGAGAACAACGGATGTCCAAGTCAAAACGCCTGCGCCGCCCAGTCACCATTGTTAAAATACAAACATCTCTGTGACAGAGCAACATGGCTACACTGGGACGCCTGAAGACGCAGCTCTCTACAGACATCTGAAGCGGCATGAGGGGACCATTGAGGTATTGGGTTTGGCGCGATCTCGGAGTGAGGCGATGCACGCACATCGGCTGCCGCGTAGCATAGCCATTCGGCGTCTGCTGCGCGCGCGGAGGTAACTAGTGGACGGGTGCACATCAAGCGCGGCGTGTATTTCGCAGCGCGAAACAGGACATTCAAATGCGTGAAAAAGGACGCCTGCTATCTGCCAGGGTCAATTATTGATCTTAAGTTCATGTTTATATGAAATAAGAAGCTCTACATGCGGGATAGTCGCCCTACTGACAGGCATAGATCTGCAACTGTGGGGATAATCACGCTATTGACAGGCACATGTCTGCAACCGTGGGAATAATCACCCTACTGACGGACACAGATCTGCAACTGTGAGGATAATCACGCTATTGGCAGGCACATGTCTGCAACCGTGGGAATAATCACCCTACTGACGGACACAGATCTGCAACTGTGGTAATAATCACCCTACTGACAGGCACAAATCTGCAACTGCGCAAAAGCAACCGAGCCACGAACTTCGACAACTGGTTCAGTAAAGACTCAGTTTATATATGGCACACTTACTGAGGCATCACAACTCTATGACGCAGTTCTCTATCATCAGAATTAAGACGAATGAGAATAATGACAATACCGTTAGGATTCAGTCACTGAGCTGACTACACAGACGTGTCAGATCCGGGAACTGACACCATTCAAACGTAAATATTGCCACATCGTGGATATGTGCTAACGTGAGCATGTGCTTCACTAGTAAGGGAACCTATCGAGAGCCAAGGTTCGGCGCTACCTAAGCCCACTCAGACGTACTTAGTTTACGTCTCTTTTCATTTAGTTTGCACTTTTACCACGTCACTTCTCCGTGTCCAGTTTTCTCTGTGCGATCCACGAGGTAAAACATTCTTCTGTCTCGTCATCGATTCTACATGCCACTTTGATGTCCCGTTTGGCCTTCCATGGTGCATACCCAGCGCCGCATCTCCAGCGCTGCATCTTCGGCCGTGATCGCACCCTACTACCGCCCAGGGAACAAGCATTGCTATCGCTCACACGCGCGCACCACCGCTCTCACTCTGTAAGCACCTCAGCAGCACCACCGCTCTCATTCCCTTAGCACCTCAGCAGCAGCATCGCTCTCACTCCGTAAGCACCTCAGTAGCACCGCCGCCCTCACTCCGTAAGCACCTCAGCAGCACCACCGCCCTTACTCTGCAAGCACCTCAGCAGAACCACCGCTCTCACTCTGTAGACACCTCAGCAACACCACCGCTCTCATTCCGTAGGCACTTCAATATCGTCGCACCTCCGTAAAACGTCGCTGCGCGCCGCATCTAAACACGACCTGCGCCCTGTATCACCACAGGTCCCAAGCGCTTCACCTCGGCCACTCAGCGCGCTCCTGAGCTCGTCCCCGGCCACGTCCCGCCTCTGTCCCGGCCACGTCCCGCCTCCGTCCCGGCCAGTTCGGGCTCCGTCCCGCATGCATGCCGGCTAGGTAGTTGTGCGGCGGCGGCTCGTTGCTCAGCTGCGGCTGGTGTAGCCATACCCGCTGGCGGCGTACTGGCCCGAGCTGTTGGTGCTGAATGGAATGGTGGCCTCGTCCTCGTCGACGGTCACCGGCCGTCGCACCGGCTTGGTGTTCCCCCGGAAGCGGAACACGAAGGAGAGCTCCTTCATGGCCTCGCTGGCGAACGGCACCTGCGGAGCCACAGATCGTCAGAGGTGGCGGGGGGGGGGGGGGGGGCGTTATCTCGGTCTCTTAGCGCCGGCGACGGTGGGGTGACAGGATACCGGGGCCTGGCCGACGCGACGGCTCCCGTCTGACAGAACTACTTCACCCTGCTTCGGCCACACCGGCCTCGGCCGATCTCGCGGCAGCCTGTTGCCAGTGTCCCGTGCGCCGACGGGCTCCCGTCTGACAGAACCACTCCGCTCTGCTTCGGCCATACCGGCCTCGGCCGATCTCGCGGCAGCCTGTTACCAAAGTGTCCCGTGCGCCGACGGACGGTCCGTGACGAGTACCGAGACCCTGGCGCGACTACCGCACCTGTTACCCACGCGCCACCACCTCGCCCCACGCTCACACCTCCTCGAGTCGCGGACTGTTTTCGACCGGCGCGGCACGAGGTCTGCACTCACATTCTCCTCCGCCGCCTGGTTCCGCACGGCCCAGATGAACTCGAGGCACGACTGGACAACGGCCAGCGCCACGCCGCACATCAAGCAGACAAACACGCCGCCCACGTTCTTCAGCGTCAGCGCCGACACGCTGCCCTTCTTCGCGTTCTGCTCCTGTGGAGACGGCGGAAGGGCAGGTGTCAGGGGCGGACGGTTCACTGGAATGGAACCGTTTGCCGTACAGGTGATGCAGGTCTGCGGCGTGGGGTCTGGCTGGCAGGCAGGCGACATGTACATGGGAACTGTTTCGCTCGGTACACAATCGTGGGTCAGTCCGAGCAGGCAATACAAGTTACTGCCGTAAGGCTTTATGCGACAGAGTATGCGCCCGGTTGAGCTCTGAGAAATGACGGTTGTGCCGACAACAGGAACTTTCGGCTGATAAATTTTTCATGGGATACATTTTGAGCGGTTACGCGATTTGAAAGCCACGATAGCTGAATGCTTATGTTGTTGTGTTCCCGAATTGGTATTTTCGATGAGCGTTCTCGTGCGAATCTTAAGCATGCGGGCAATGCACCATATTCCCTCAATGATGTAAACGTACCAGACATTTGCCGCCCTCTTTTTTGTTTTTCCACCATAGTGTTTTCAGGCGCTGGAGCCGGCCGTCCTCCTGCATCTTCAGGATGATCTCGCTCAGCTCAGATGCTGACACCGGGGACCACTTGCTCACTGCAATACCGTATCCCTTGTTGTCTAGGAGGCCGCCCACCTGCGAACCAGGATATGATGATGAGCTTGGCTGGCAATGGGGTATGACTGTTCTTTCGACTAAATGCTGTCGTGTGAGTTACTTGATCGAACAGCATTGGCACCAGGAGTCATCTCCAAGCAAAGCTTGGTGTTTGGACACCTGCTGTTTGTTGTGGCTTGTAGCTTATGCCACGCCATCCCAGTACTCCCAACCATGAGATCATTTCCACGATCTGTTTGCCAAGCAGTACCGAGGATTCCCAGCGTGTCAGAAACAGCAATGACACGGCTGTCCGTGGTCCATGTCCCCATCATCGTCGGGAGATTTGACGCCTTCGGCCCAGTATCCAGCGCACCCGAACCTGTTCGTTTAGTCAGTCGCCAGCCGTCTGCGATTGTCGCCGACAGCTTGTTGAAGGCGGGAACGTAATCTACCACGTGTGATTAGAAGGTTTCTGAGCGCTGACAAATTGCCGTCGTCCACGCTCTCGACGCCAGACTTTGAGGGGCGTAAGCGGACATTCACGAGTGCCGTGAGGGATCAAGGTGATCATAGACCTGACGTGGCGATGTGCCTTGAACCTATCGTGTGTGCAGAACGCTCGCTGTAACGTGGCAGCGACGCACTGCCCACTAGGCAGCCGGCACGCTGTATGACTCGCAGATGACATAAACGAAACGAAAAACAATCCCAGCTGATGTGATTATTTCCCCAAGAGAAAGAGAAAATTAGAGAGAAAGAAAAATAGTTTCAAAAGCCGTAAATGTGTCCCATGTCACAGATCATTCGCATCCCTTTTCTACGTTTGAAAATAATTACCGCATACACGGGAAATTCATGACGTCTGAAACAACGAAAGTTCCTCTGTTTTGCGCACCGACTGCTGTGACGGCCCCGACCCTATCGCGTGGGTGAGCGCCGGACAGCTGGGTCAGCGCCCGCTCTTGCCGGTTATGAAACCACCCGTGTCACAGCGGCGCGCCGCCCTCTCACGTTTGAAAATCTGGGTCAGGTCACAGAGGCGTCACGCCGTCACAGGTCACGCTGACTTCTCACCTAGCCCAGTCACGGCACGCGCCTCCTTCTCACCTAGGTCAGGTCAGAGCACGCGCCTTCCCCTTAACTGGGTCAGGTCACAGTGCGCGCCTCCCTCTCACCTGGGTCAGGTCACAAGCGGCGCTCTATAGTGTACTCGATCGTTGAGGACTCCATGAAATAAGCGTATTTGCCGGCAGCGGTTGACACGCGGTTGATGCCGTCCCTCGTCTTCTCGAACACTGACGGCTCCTGGGACTCCATGAAAGACCACATCTTGTCAAACGGCGATATCCTGGAGCCTCTGTTGGTCGGACAACAGCTTCGGATAAACGGCACCTTTGCTGGGGGTTCATGGGCATCAACAAACATTTTCATAACGGGATACCATGGCGGGGAATACCTGCACGCCCCTGTAGAAGCAGAGTGTCAGCAAAAAGAAGGAAGGAGAAGGGCGCAGTTACGCAGTTACAACAGCCGAGAGAGATTGGAGAAAGATGGAGAGAGCGAGAGAGAGGAGAAGTAGAGAGAGAGATGAAGAGAGAGAGAGAGAGAGAGAATAGAGAGAGAGAGAGAGAGAGAGAGAGAGAGAGAGAGGAATAGCTGAGATCTAGAGTTATATGTATGAGAGATAGCAGCGCTATACTCGAGACGAGTCGAGAGAAGATCTCTCATGGAGAGAGAACCCTCGCTCATCGCCTCGAGAGGAGAAAGCTCTCTCTCTCGATGTGAGGTCCCGGCATTCCTCACCGGTACTCTGATGGAGTGTGACTGCCGACGCAATATCGTAAGGGCACGTCAGTGATGTTGGACGGCAGGAGTCATCGGAGCTGGTGCAGTATCGTCCGGCGCGAGACGCGGAGCGGCAAACACAGCCTCCACCACCCCACGCGCAGCGCCGATGCCGTGCGCACCTGAAGAACTGAGCAGTGGCGCCGCTCTCCTGGACGCCGTACTTGATTTCGGTCTGGCGCGCCAAATCCTCGGCGCTCGAGATCGGCGACACGAGCGTCTCCACCGTCAGGAAGGCGGCCAGGTTGGCGGTGTAGGAGGAGACCTGCGACCGCAGACGGTGTCGTCACGGAATGACGTCAGAGTCGCAGCCGGACGCGGCCAACGTACGACCGTACGTCACTGGTTCGTGCCACCGGTGCCCCACGGGCGATGGGAGCGGTCGGATGATCTAAACGCGGGCTGATAAGCTACGGATCTGTGCAGCGACCGCAAGCTGACCTGTTACGCGTAATGAAAGTGGTTTGCCAGTCCGTAAGCTGTCCGATCTGCTTCAATGTCCCGGTGTAAGAGTGCTCAAAAATTTATTCAGCGAGGGGAGCAATAAAGGAAGAACGACGCGAGCATAACTATTGATGGGCTCCGCACGGTCCTGATCTAAGTAAAAGCCGCGAAAAGAAGGCTAGCGATGTCATCCGACTATGCAAGGCCGCATCCAATCAGGTTGGGCCACATGGTAACCATAATGTGTGAATCTGACCATGGAGAACACCTTCCCAGTACAAACCATCTTGGAGAACGGAGCAAATACTGACGCCATAATCCAGGTGTTGTGACTAAGCCCGTTGACGAAATGGTTTTTATATCGACAGAAGCGATTCAGATTAAGCAAGCGTTCTAAGTGAAGCGTGCACATCTTCAATGTCGGCAGCAGTGCGTCACCAATGCAGTCGCAGATTTCAGCCCGGCGCCTGCGACGGCCGGGCTGAAAGGGTGGCCGGCACACTGTACTTTCACGTGGGGGCGCAGGCTCGGGTGCCGGTGCCGGGGCCCGGCTGCACCACGGCCCCCGAGCGCTAACATGGCTACTGAAGTCGCTGGCGGCCCATGGAAGGGTGCGCGACGACGTGCGTCGCGTCCCGTCTTTAACAAAAAAAAGGGTGACGAGATCAGGGCGCAGCTCACAAGCAGATGCGACTGCAGATGTTCGTATGCGGACGAACGTGATGGGGCAGACGTGTTTGGATGTGCATAAGCTACGCCTGTTCCCAGACTATTCAAGGCATCAGCGACGCAGAAAAAATATCCGTGAAGTGGGGAAAGTCAAGACAGATGAGTTCTTACCATGATCAGTGTGAAAAACCACCAGCTTCCTGCCACCATTCTGGTGGAAACGGCTCTGAAAAAGCACCCATACGCGTCACTGGAAAGTCCGCGGGCAGTGTTCCGGTCTAGGCCTATGAAGATCTCACAAACTGAACGCAAGACCTAAAGCCCTGTAAGACAGGGAGATTGTCGGTTTTGAAGCGAGGCTGGCGCCACAGCACAAACCGTTGTTTACTTTGTGACTACTACGTCACGACAAGGAAACGTTTCTCATGGGCTTTCGTGACGTTTTGTGCTACTTTGATGCTAATACCAGCTGTTCTTGAGTGAACCGTCTTGCGCTAAAGTAGGATAAGACCACGCAGCGTGTTGTCAGAAATATTTTTACTTTCACGATTCAAAGTCTGGCATTTCATCCGGAACATGCTCAAGATCTGTCTCCCGGACTGAAAAACAAATCACAAAATTGACCTTGTCGGGTCGTTTTGTGTGATTGGTGCAACTGAGCGTACAACTTAGCATTTCGAAGGTTCTAGTTAGAACTACGTGCCGTACGATCGCTGTTACCGTTACACGTCATTTGTTAAGACTGACAGATTGTAGATATATATTACGCATGCTTCTAAAGCCATGTGAAATAAACACAACCAACCGCTTGTTAAACACTTACTATCTAGATTACCTTGCTTCCTCTTGTGCAGCTACAAATACGCTACAGAGCATGACGAAACGTGTTGAAACGTATGGACAGAGATTCAGGCAACTCCAGAGCGAAAAGTCAAAATTACGGAAGAGCAATTACTTACAGGAAATGTGCGTGTGGACGTGGAGCAGTTAGTGATGAGGATCAATTAGTAACTAGAATCGCTGTAGCTAAACAATTACACTGGGCTCAGAAGCCCCTATGGCTCACAAGCGTGACAGCCTTACTTCGGCGCAATATCAGAACCCTGTTGCATGAGAGAGCCTATGGTAAACCAGCAGCCATTCCGAATGTTCACTTCGTTCTCCAGTTCCTCGGGTTCGTCGTTACAGGGGTGGGGGTTCACCCACTCATAAGGGCTAAACCTGAAAAAGTGAGGGGGATAAAACGCCTGTTTCGGCGTCACATCCCACGAAGCCGACATGGACTCCCCCGAACAGCAGCACCTGCCAAAGCCAAGCACGTGGGCGGCGAAACCAAAAATGGCCACGCAGGGGAGGACAGCGGCGCATATCGAAGGGAGACCCTTACTTGGGGAGAAAGTCGCACCCCTGCTGCACCAGCGATCCAATACAGAACCACAGCGCGTTTAAAAAGTTAAACTGGTTTTCCAGCACGTCCTGGTTCAGGTGGCAGGGATGCGGGTGATCCCACTCGTAAGGGGTGAACCTGCAACCAGAACAGCACTCTGCGCGTGGGAACAGGGCATGGAGACAGATTACGGGGAAAGACGACGATTTACCGCAACACATGACAGCAAGTGACTACGGCAAGACTCCATCATAGACTGCATACAGTAATGGCGTACGCCAGAATCTAGATCCTTTTTAAATATAACTAAATTGTGGTAATAGAACATTTGGAGAGATTACCCATCGACTACATAGCTTTGGCAGGTAGTTGGGTATGCGTTTGGGTTGAACAGCAATATTGTAGCATTGTGATGTATCTGATGGAGACACAGGTCTTTCAACGCGGGTGTGACTAAATGAATCACGATGCTGCACAAATGCAGGACATCATAACCAACCAGCGCCTTATGGTGTATGTGTGAAGCAGAGGGGCGCGGCTTACCTGGCTAACAGAAACATGAGCACGGACACGCCCAGGTAAGCCAATGCTATGTAGATCCAGACCTCCAGCGACAGTGGTGAGAGGAAGGAGAAGAGGTTCGGCGGCTGGCGTACCGGCTTCGTGTAGAGCAGACCGATGCCTGGCGGCAGGGCGCCGCAACCTCTTATCACACAGCATACACTAGAGGCCCAAGCCGAGAGCATAGGTCCGCCTACAGGTCTCAAACAGCTGGCCACAAGGTAAGCTATTAACTAGCCTTTTAGCCTAGCTTACGTCATCTCATTTATAGGGGTCTACCACGAGTAGCGCGAATGTCACGCGTAGAGGCCGGCGGTGAAAGAAGCCCGCGCACAGTTAGCACTCCGCGCATTTGCTCAACCAAGGGGTGTGGGTCATACATTTGCATAACAGCATTTCGATACACCAACCTCGAGATACTCGCAAAACTCAACCGAATAGCCTGCAGACGCTGCATCAGTATGTAACCTACTAATCGCCTAATTGACCTGGCACTTCCTGGAGACATGTGTGCGCGTCTCACCTAGACTGAGCCACTGCATGGTGAAGTCCACCACCTCCTGGCGACTCTTCGTGATGGTCAGATCGGTAATAGCCATGTGGGCGTTCTGAAACGGCCCAGGTCTCGGGCTAACAGTCACAGTGGGGCTTTATCAAGCGGTATGCAGACCACGGGCGTCTATGAGTAGGCTATGGGCCGTACATGAATGTCTTTCAAGCCTATGCATGTAGAGAAATTATTCGGGTTTTTGTCCTCAACCATGGTGCTATTAACACAACACCACGGCGGGTCGCCTCACCGGCCCCCGCCAGCTGTTGGACTGCTCTGATGAGCAGCTAAGAATGTTTTACGCTCGGCCATTTGCTTGGCCATTGCGCTACGCTTTCGAGAACGACTCTCCATGACAACCTTCCCATCGGTAGAGTGGGGCTCTTACTACTACGCTGTCGAAAACGACCAACAACATTTGACAAAAACTCTAGCCACTTCACCTAGTGCTGTGATCAAACATGCATCATAATATGCATCATACATACATCTAAAGAAAACGTGATTCTTTGACACGGCGGTAGCGGCGCGACAGCTGGCAGCGTCGGATGGATTGCCACACATTGGTGTAACTCACGCCGTCCAGGAGTTCGCTACAGCTGGCGGCGTTGGATGGATTGCCACACATTGGTGTAACTCACGCCGTCCAGGAGTTCGCCACAGCTGGCAGTGTTGGATGGATTGCCACACATTGGTGTAACTCACGCCGTCCAGGAGTTCGCTACAGCTGGCAGTGTTGGATGGATTGCCACACATTGGTGTAACTCACGCCCTCCAGGAGTTCGCCGATCATGCCGTTCCACTTTCCTGTCTTCGCGTTGGGACGCCCTGGTGTGTCATCGGGATTCAGATGAAATGAGTAGTTGAAGTTGAGCTCTTTGGACAGCTCGTCGATGATGTCTACACAAATGCCCTCGAACCGGTCGTTGCCCTTCCTCAAAATGGACGACTCTTTGAGCATCGTGTACGGATCTTTCTGGGAAACATAAAGTAAGGCATTCAGTGTTGCAAAAAAGTACGTCCGAGATCGAGTTTCGTCATGAAAGACATGAAGCCACGGGGAGGGTGGCGAAAGTACGGCTCCAAACTGGTAGAGCAAAAAACGAAACTGAGCTTTTGCGTAAATTGCAATTTGTGCGGAGCTTACATTTGACGCAGCTGAGGTGAACGCCAGAGCAAAGCTTATGAGACTATCACTTAGCAGCCACAAGAGGCATTGCATGAGCATCATAAGCATCGGTGTATAATCCGATCAACGCAACCAAATGATCTGCCAGCGGCCCCCGGACGCGCCGCTGGCCGTTCGCTCTCCGGTGCCTGCTGACCAGGATGGTGGTGATGACGACGGTGCGGTTCTGGTCCTGGACGGCAGGCCTGGCCCGCTGCGTCATGTTGGAGCCGCGTGGACTCCAGCTGCCCAGCCTCACCAGGCCCGACTCCTTCAGCTCCACCACGTCCAGGCTGAAGAAGGTGCGCCGGCCTTCGGCGTCGAACTCGATGCGGCCCGTCAGGCCGTCCTGTTTCACCTTCACAGGCCGCCAGCGGGCACGCGTCAGCGCCATGCCCGTCCGCCTCCGCCGCGCGCTCCGGGAGGCGGGGGCACACCCGCCCGCAGGGGGCACGTGACCCGGCGCCGGCCGCAGCACCACTCAGCACGGCAGCGAGACGAGTCAGGCCGCGTAGGTGGCCTGGCAGCCTGATGCAGGATGGAAGGGGTATGTCCCCTTCTCCGGGGACTCACCTGGGCTTCAGCTGCTAGCGGCGAGCAGACGTGTGGATAAACAAATCCTGCCGCTTAAAGGTTGAAGCCTTTAGATCACACTCTCAAATCGAGCTGACTTGACATGTTTACAACGATAACCCATCTCATGCGAGTTCTCTTTAAGCAGTCTTTCATTTGTGCTGCTAACGTTCAGCAAGAAAAGACTGCGGGATCTTCGACATGTTTTAAAAGCCACGACAAAGACGCCTAGAAGGCAACTTATATGCGCGCAGAATAAAGGTGCAAGAACCTCCAGTGGCATTCGACTTAACGACTCCACGAGAAGTGCCTTCAAACTTCCGTCGGCGTATCCTCGTATTCCGTACCTGCTACTCAACACCCGCCGCCGACTACAGCCAGGCGCTCCTAAGCCAAGAGCACAGAGTACGGGTTCCGTAAAGTGCGCATTGTTTGGCCCGACCAACAGGAAAATGTGGGCTGGCACCGTGCCAAAGGCGACCGACACAGCTCTGGGATCCGTGGCTCCCGGCGGCATAAACATAGTCCTCAGCAGCGCCGTCTAACTTAAGAGGTCGGGGCCTCATTATCTCCATGTTCGGAATGACACGACTTGAATGGTAGACTCAGCATATGACACACAGCGCTCTGCGTGACAGGGGCTGTGGACAGGTGCGCGGCCAGAGCTTTGGTAAATGGGACACAGTGTTGATAAAGGGCCCCCTGATAGTAAAAGGGCTCCCCAAAAATCCCCGGATATGACCCATTCGTGATTGAGGACATGTTTTTGTTATATATATATATATATATATATATATATATATATATATATATATATATATATATAGTGTGTGTGTGTGTGTGTGTGTGTGTGTGTGTGTGTGTGTGTGTGTGTGTGTGTGTGTGTGTGTGTGTGTGTGTGTGTGTGTGTGTGTGTGTGTGTGTGTGTGTGCCTGTGTGTGTTGTGCGCACACATATATGTATATATTACGCATTTTACCTTCCTGTAACTGAATGACCGCGAAGTCGAGGCGCCGTGAACCCTCACCCACCTTTACCTTCTGTAGCTGGAATATGGGCCAGACGCCACCACAAGGTCAGTTGTGCCTTAAGTTTATAGCAAGTAACTGACAAAATCAGGCGTTAACTAGCTGCATGACATATTTCGCCGTCACTTTGCATTTCACAATGGTCCAGTGGAGAAACCAACAAAACTCAGAAGCTTTGTGAGAACTTTTATCTGGGTTGTACAGAAATAGCAAGGATTCCGCAAATGTAGATTGAAGGTCAAAATGGGTCAACCATTTGTATTATCACGGTGAGGGGATGTTTTCCTGGATATGTTCAACATCCAGTCCGAACTGATAAGTGATGCAAATTAGATAACGTAGTTTTAGGCATGCGCGCTTGCAAATCTCAGAAACAAAAGCTCGACGTCGGGCATTGCAGTCTCCATAGACCGCATGACGTTTGCCTCGTGGCTTATACTAAGTCGTGGCCAGCAGGTGGACGAAAAAAGTGACGCATTTCAAAGAAGTACATTGGCACGCTTTTGGACACCAAATTGTAAATTTAGAGACATTCCGGGCGTATATATCACCTGTTCACCTGCAACATTGTATGGCCTGTTTTTTAGATTGATGACAATAACGTATTGGTTTACAGCACCGCGAAGTGGTGCTGAAAGCTGGATGCCGAGCTCAAGGGCAAAGGTAAAATTTCTAGTTGTTGTGTCGCTTAACTGTTAATCTGTCCAAAGGACATCCTCAAACCTGTAAAAAAAAGATTCACCTATTGTAACCCTTGAGTTGTACGAATTAATTGTGAGAGAAATTCAGAAACATAATTTGCTATAGTCATGGACGCGCGCTCGGCGCCCGCCCTCTGGCGTTACTTGCAGCGGCCAGGGCCGGTCAGTTTTACGAAAGCTGCGACCCAAGCCATCGCTATCCTTGCTCCCCGACATTACGGCCGGGTCATTTGGGCTTTATGACGCAATCGGCTGCTGGAACTGCATGGCGCAGACGCGTAAACCACTACACCATCGGCACCCGCCGCGCAGGTTCAGGCATTTTGATGGTATTTGTTTCACTAGTCGACTCTGCAAGATAATAAATGTCCTCGGGCAAACATGGGATGGCCTTGTGGGTTCTCAATTCATTTTGACTCACTCCACTCAGCGCTAATGAGACCCCTTGTTTCTTTGCGGTACAGGGCCCCCTGAATGCAACACTGCGGACATATTGTTGTTCCCGGTCAAGAACTGAGGGGTCATTCTGTTCCACCACGGTGTGTTTTCCGGCCGTCATTCCGGCGACACGCGGCGGCATCCCCCCACCGATCCGGAGGCCCTTAGAGGGATACATCATATCACATTGATCCATCATATCATCCTGACGCCGGAGGCCTTCTGACCCGCGCACCTGACCCCGGATCGACGCATGAACCGTCATTAACGCAACGACATCCCTGCTCACTGCAATTGGTCAAATAATTGACACATAGCACAGCTAGGCTTAATGGACATGCTGGAAAATGGCTGGAAGCCCACCGTTCGGTGCTGGGGAACCTCACTGACACAAGACCCCTCTATGACAATGTGAGCACTCATAAGTTTTTGTTTCCTTCTATTGTTCGAGGGCCCCGACCAACGCAAGAGACCCTCTGCCATTCCAGCTCCCGTCCCCGCCCCTGTTGAGCAAATCTTCCCCTGACTGATTTGAGGTCCCTTGTTGACACAAAATGCCCTGTAGGGCACTGTGGGTCCCTGAACGGTGGATGAGCCGGACCGATGTAAATCACGGGCCTGGCCTTGTCCCTGCTTGGGAAATTGGGCTCCCAGAGCTCATAATAACACGGAGCTGACTGTTAGTTGTTCGTGATCTCTGGCCGAAATAGACGAATACTCTGTCTCAGGGATCCTTATCGGTGCAAGAGATCATCCTATTGACATTTGAGGTCATGGCCTTATGGGCGGGGGTCCTTAATGTGACCTACAGCCAGCCCTTCGGACCCTTAAACTATCCCATCGGGCCCTTGATATTTGGTCTCGAGAGACCCTTTGGCCCCTCTTCGGGCCCCTCGAACACCGCTCCAACTCGGGGCCACTTTCCGCCACAATACCCCTTTTTGGCACTGTGGCCCCTAACCGATACAGGAGTCCCTCATTGTATCAGGGACCCCGAACATTGCAAATCGCGGACCCCGGTCTCGTTCTGCTTGGGAAACGGGTCTCAAGGGCTCAGACGTACATGGGGCCGACTGTTCGGTGTTTGTGGTCTCTGACCGACTTTGACATCCGCATTGTCCTCTTGGGTTTTTTATGGGCTTGGGCTATGGGCTCTGGGCTCTTGGGTTTTATTTAATTGGGTTCCTCAAACGGTGCAAGAGGACATTTAGATAATATTTCAGGTCACGGCCCTACGGGTCGCGATTCTTTATGTGACCTACAGTCAATCCTCCAGGTCCTTACGCCCTCCAAGCAGGCCTGTGATAGTCGGTTCCGGTGGGCCGCCCGGCCTCTCGTCAGGTCTCATCAGCGCTTTCTTTGGTCGGCTCGAGGCCCTTGTGAGTACAGGGCTCTCTGCTCGGCGCTGTGGGCCCCTGATAGAAACTAGGCCCCGGACCAGTGTAAATCACTGGCGCCGGCTTTGTAGCTGATTGGGAAGTGGGTCCTCAGACTCATACCGACACGGAGCTGACTATGTGGTACTGTGGTACCTGACCAGCATATAGGACCATATCGACTCAGGAGGCCCGCGATCGGCGCAAAGGACCCTCTGACCGTTATTTGAGGGTCCGTCTTTGCAGGTCGGGGCGCCCGAAAATAAGACTCCGACCAGCCCAGCCGGTCGGAGTTCTTAGCCGGTTCTTAGACCCTCCAACCGGGCCCTTGATCGTCGGACGGGGTGGGCCCTCTAGGCTCTTCTGGCCTCCTCGAGCACTGCTTCTGGCCGACTTGGGCCCCTTGAAAACACGGGGCCCATGTTAGGCCCCTGTTAGGCGCTGTGCGGCCCTGAGCAATGTAACTCGTGGCCTCCGCCTTTGTGTCTGTTTGGGAGATGGCCCTTAGGCCCATGCCGCCACGGAGCCGACTGTGCGTTGCTGGTGGCGTCTGACCGAAATATAAGCTCTTATCGACTCAGTGGGCCCCTGATCAGCGTGCAAGGCTCTCTGGCTGTCATTTAAGTGTCCGGCGTCTAAATGAGACCTCTGGCCGGCTTTTAGGACCCTTCGGGCCCTTAAATCAGGCCCCTTATCGTACGTTCTGAGGGGCCCGAAGGGCCCCTCAGAACCTACGATTAAGGGCCTGCATGCGTAGGAACTGCCTGCGCCGATGGCTGCGAGCCTGAATTTCTTGTGCAAATGGTCATGGGCCTTTTCCATCAATATTTCCGTGAGCTACCATTGATGGTGCTAATGCAGCACACTCAGTCACTGGTAGAATTTCCTATGCGAAGACCGGATTTGGAATGCCAAGAATATTCAGAGAAAGGTGTGACCATTGCCTAGGCACCACCATGTTGACAGTGCAGGTAACAGCGACGTTGGCAAACGCGGCAGTGTCGTGTGTCAATGGTTGCACTATTTTGGTTGCATGACCATGGATGGTTGGATGGTTGGATGGTATGATGGCTGGATGTCTGGATGGCTGCACCGTCGCCTGTCACCCACCATTCTCATGTAGTTGATGAGCGAGTCGCCGTGCGCCCACATGAACTCGCCAGCGCAGTCCAGCGGCGTCACCGACAGGTCCAGCGGCGTGCTGAGGTCGCGCACGGCGGCGGCCAACACGTGCACCGCGTCATACAGCAGCGCGTCACTCGTCTGCCGGCGGCCAGCCGTGTAAGTCAGCTCAACCGTGCAGGCATGATCGACTCGATCGCGTAAGCATGGTTAGGCAGTCAAAAAGTGTCCAAAGCAATCATGCATAGGCGTCGCATCAACCTGGCACCCTGGCGTCATGTTCAGCATTCAGCGGAGACAGCTGGACATATTGGCATGTGCGAAGTGTCCTCGTGACTCGCTTATATACGCAGCTGCTGGTACAATCAGCAGCATTCAAATAGGTGAACAAGGCCTGACCTGAGAACAACGGCGTTTTATAAGTACAAATCACCAAGGAATCCTGCACTCTTTAAAATAGGCAGCGAACTACCCAGTCATTAGGATCCACTGAGTTAAGGCTGGGTAATCCTTGGTCCGGCCTTTTCAATCGTCCGTCAATTTGCGAAAGTCCGGCTTGCCTTAAGCCCGCACAAAAGTTTCAAACAATGTAAGATGTCTCTCAAAAGACATTGGGACATCCACCATCTATACGGTGTCCACTGCCTACAACGGATATGGACAACTTGTGCGTTACCACAAATTACGCCTGTAGTAAACGTTGCCTTCGGAGTGATTGCTCTGATTAGGAGGGTCTGAGTTCACATCGCATGGATCGATCCGCACGGATCTGCCCCAGTTGAGTGCGAGCGGGAGAGCTGGCGGCAGCACTCACCTTGAGCGAGCGGGCGTGGATGGTGAGAGGGGAGGCTGCGCTGGATGCTGAAGGGAGCTGGCGTGTTACGCCCTGCTCACGCTGCCTCTCCCTCCACTCTCGCACCGTCATGATGATTTTGGGGTCGGACGGGTCGATCAGACGCAGTCCGGTGATGTTGGCGCCGCTGTAGCTGAAGTCCTTCAGATCCACCGTGTGCAGGTCCTGCAGATGGTGCACATGTGTGCATCACTGACCCGACACTGAAGACCTCCCAGCATCCATCAGACTGGCCTGAAGCTTGAAATATAGTTCACAGAGCGCATGCAAAAACAGGAGATTCTATTTGGCTTTAGGATATATAGATGTTAGGGTGAGTACAAATAAAAAAATTGCTTTGTGTTGTAAGTAACTTGCTTACTCTTGTTTGCCGTATTTTACTCTAGGGTGCCTAGCAGTCATTGTTTTTGGTAGAGGCAAGATCTCACGGTGACGTACGCCCGAGCATCTCAGTAACCAGCCACGAAGTGTCACTTAAGTGTTGCTTGTCAAGGCGCTCCGCTCTACCCTGCGCAAGCCGTCGCCATGTAAGGCTCCCTCACCAGCGACGTGATGAAGAAGCTGTACTCGCTGGTTATCATGCCGATCTGCTGCGCCTGCTTCAGCACGGTGTGCACGTGGCCAGCGCTGCAGTCGAGCACCACGTGGCGCACCTTGGAGTCCATGACGCTCTTGAGCACGTGCCGGTAGTGGCCGTCGGCCGGCAGCTGGCGCACGCTCATCTGGAACTGGTTGTCGAACTGCGGCAGCTTGAGCACCTGCTGCAGCCGGAGCAATGATTCGTTGTCCTCGTAGAGCACGGCAAACACCGGCCAGTGGTTCATCTCCAGGATGTCGGCGTACGCCTGCCGGGTCGAGCCGTCGGTCACGGCGGGTCACAGCAGGTCACAGCCGGTCAGCGCCGGCTCTGGGTCGGCTCCGATCGCTCTCAGCACACAGAGTCACGGTGAGGAGTCGCTGTCACTTCGAGGCCGGTGAAGGGTTTCTCGTGGAGCGCCATGCCTCCGACAAATTGTATTCTCCGTCTGTCAGTTGTGGCACGAGAACCGGCCCTCACCTGACCTCACCTGACCTCTGAGCTGCAGCACAACTGCCTGCTGAGCTATAGGCAGAGGTTTCTATTTCTTTTGGGCCGCATTGTCCCCTCCCTTCCGTGATGGTCCTCGAACCCCAACGAATGGTGCGAGCACCCAAAGGGGCGAATAAACAGGGACCAGTCGTGTATTTTTTGAAAATCTAGCTTTCACCATCCCACGAACGAATTGTTTCCGGGCTTAACTGTGCCTTACACGAAGTTATTGTTTTACAGGTTGTTAGTTTCTAGTTAAGAGCTGTTCATATCACTGTTGACACCGATGCGAGGTCACCAGGAGAAAAGACACCAGGCCAGGCGTGGAATGGAAATCGTGTAAGCGCCAACTTTGCGTGGCTCTGCCGTCGGCACGCTCCAGCTCTTAGGGTCTGTTTAGTGTACCGTTCTTTCTCTCTGCCCGTGTAGCCTGCATGACTAAAATCTGTCCGTTTAGTACTGTACTGATAGGATGTGTTCACCATGTGCGACATTCACTAAGCCTGTCTGTCATACCGTAGAGGATGATTAGACCTCCTAAGTGGCCTGTATGATGTTAACCTGACTGGCTTGTCATATGTCACACAGATCCGCCGCATCTGCCGTGGCTGATGCTGACTAGACTTGTCATTCGTTTCTATTGCCGGCATATGTCACACAGATCGGCCGCATCTGCCGTGGCTGATGCTGACTAGACTTGTCATTCGTTTCTATTGCCGGCGGAGTTAATCCTTCACGTCCGGTTTTCACTGAAGCCCCTGATCATGTGCAGCAGTGACGGGTGCTGTTCGTCAGCTGCGTCAGGGCCCATCCGGACCGGACGCCTCCGTGGGAACTGACGCCGTGTTGACCCGGCCGCCCGCCTGTCGGCTGGCGGCCCGGCCCGTCTGCCAGTCCGTCTCGAGCGCCGCCGCCGCCGCGCTGGCGCCCCGGGCCAGGCCGGCCACCACGCTAGTGCCACTATTTCTGACCGCATCACGCGCGTCTGCTGGAGGTAGCCCGCTGATTCAGAGCGACGCGACTGGCTCAGCCGATCTGACTGCCTGACGCTCAGGCGCCGGCAGCGGCGGCGGCGGCGGCGGCGGCGGCGTGCTCGGAGCAGCCGGGGTAACCTGCTGCTTACTAGACGGTGTGCTTGGAGCAGCCGGGGTAAGCTGCTGCTTACTAGACGGTGTGCTTGGAGCAGCCGGGGTAAGCTGCTGCTTACTAGACGGCGTGCTCGGAGCAGCCGGGGTAGGCCGCTGCTCACTGGACTGCGTGCTCGGAGCAGCAGGGGTAAGCTGCTGCTTACTAGACGGTGCGCTCGGAGCAGTCGGGGTGAGCTGCTGCTCACAAGACGACGAGCGACGAAGCAACAGGTGTTGGCGCGACACAACACAAACACTGGCGCACAGAAGTGGCACGGGTGGAGCGTACGCGCTGACATAACGAAGATGCTCGGTCGGCATTGGTCGTTTGGCGTGATTCACTTAGCCGTCGGAGCCGGCGTCCGGGGGGGGGGGGGGGGTTTGTGATGAGCGTCGGCGTAGGTCTGTCGGTTCGGACCGACGTTCAGAGCCGGCCAGGCCAGTCCAGGACCAGTTCACCTAGGTATGGTCTGGATCACACTGACCACGACTGTGACGAAGTTGACCACAGCCCTAATCACAATGACCTCAAATGGCCGCCTCCGTGGTACACGGAAAAGACGCTGGACTCGTTATCCAGCGGCACTGGGTACGAGTCCCAGAGTGGGCGCATTGCCTGACACGACTGAAATGGAAAGGTCAGATGGCAACTGACCAACGAGGGGTTAACCCAGGCCGGGAGCAGCCGTGCCGCAGCATCGTGTGGCACGTAAAACCCTCCGCATCACTGTCCGGCAAAAGGGTTAAATCGTCCGTTGAGCTGGACGGCACGACTTGGGTGATGGGTTCGGGGTACACGTAACAAGCTATGCTTAGCAGATACTCTGAACCCGAAGTCACCCATGCAAACCAGTCGGAATGAATTTATTTGTAAAAAATTGTAAAAATTAAAAACTGTGAAGGCATTCTACCATGCAGGCAGCCATCTGGTAGTCATCAAGGAAATTGCATGCTGCCCCCCCCCCCCCCTTATTGCCGCACTAGCCGTTCACCCCTCACTGCCGTCCAGTGCGTTGGCGGGTGCACCGTGTGAAGTCTGACCTTGCTGAGAGCGCCCGGGTGCGGATGAAGGTTGATGGAGAAATGCTTCTGCACGCTGGTGTCCCGCATGTGCGTCTGCACGTGTGGAATCGCCTTGGCATCGCAGATGGACTGCACGTGGCCCGAGGCTGGCTCCAGGTCGGGCCCGAAGATGGCCGCCATGCCCACCCTCCGCAGCGCGTCACACACTGCCGGACCGGAAGTGACGTCACACACGCGACGGTCATGACCGTGCCGCGCTCGCCGGTTGGGGAGAAGCTCAGCGCAGAGGCAGCAGTTTCGGTTATGTGGCGATTTGGGCAGAAAATGGGACAGGTGCTACTGATGTCAACTGAAGCAAATTATTTGTTTCTCAATTTGTCGGGGGAACAAGTGTGCGCGTGACAGCAGCGCGGCCGAGTTCCTCTCGCCGCTGCACCTCCGCGACGGGTTACGGTCCCCGCGCGGCCGCGAGTAGGGTCCGCGCGTCTCGTCCGTACGGACGGCGCCGCCGCTGGATGCGCGGGCTACCTCGTCTGGAGGCGGGCAGGCTGTTGGTGGTGCTGAGGCGCTCCACCTGGTACGCGAACGCTATCGACCTCCGGGACGCCTCCGCCTCGGCGTTGACCTTCTCGATGGCCTGGCGGAAGGCCACCTCCCGCAGCGACTCCGTGTTGTTGGCATTGTAAAAGAATCCTCCTGAGGGCGACGGACAGCGGTGATAACAGGCAGTGGCTGACTAGATCGTGGTGTCGCCCATTGAGTGACAATGCGTGGAATGAAAAGGGGCCTTCCAGTTCCCGGAAACCATGCACGCAGCATCGTGGTGCCAGTGATTTATCCTTTGTTCGCCACGCGAGGAGCATTTTTGTCCAGCCAATTCGTATGCATGCACAGAGATGTGACTGTCCGCACATTTTGGGATAGACCAAACCCCCAACAACTTCGGTTCGGGACATGGGGTATGTGAGAGTGCGGAGGACGAAGGGCGTGAACATTTCCCAAACCACTGTTAGCACACCCTAATCTTATCTGTTTAGTGTCTCCCCTGTCCAAGCCTGTAGAGTGCATTAACGAGAATTTCTGCAAAATACGCAGAGCTGAAAATACTATGCATGCATATTCTGTACCTGATTCGTTCTGCAATGTTTGCAGAGTTCACTGCACCAGTATGCCTATCACAACGCGACAAAGCGACAGGTAATACAGGCTTATCAAGCTAGTTTCACGAGAAAGTCAACGGATTCCATAGGTGACGGCATCGCGTGCCAACAATGTCATATATTCGCTTATAAGCGTATGGGCATGTTTGCCACGTGAGCGACCTCCGGCCTGGAAGTCACCCACATCACCCAAAATAGCAGACCACCATTAGCTAATGAAAACGAATGGCGGCACGTTCCGAACGAATGGTGCGCTCAGGGGGCATGGGGCAGACGGCGGGCTCAAGGGTCGACGCCGTTTGGCCAGGGCCAAAGGCGTCGTGCATTCTTTGTTTAAGATGTCCTTGATGCGTCGTTGCTTACTCGTGTATGCGTTGTTGGCATAGGTCGACGGCGCAAGAAAATTGTTTTAACAACGAAGTCTTATAGCAGGCCTGGAGCAATGCCCGAAACATCAAACCCAAGGATTCTAGTTTTTAACTGCAGATCATGTATAGTAGAAGAGAGGTGAGAAACAGAGACGTCGATCTCGATACTAATCTTCATTCTGGACCGGAAGGAGCGCCGCCGCTCTCCCACGGCCACTGACCTATGGTGATCGTCTGGGTGCCGGAGACGGTCCCCGGCACTACACACAGCAGCAGCAGCAGCAGCTGACCTATGGTGATCGTCTGGGTTCCGGAGACGGTCCCCGGCACTACACACAGCAGCAGCAGCAGCAGCAGCAACTGACCTATGGTGATCGTCTGGGTGCCGGAGACGGTCCCCGGTACTACACACAGCAGCAGCAGCAGCAACTGACCTATGGTGATCGTCTGGGTGCCGGAGACGGTCCCCGGCACTACACACAGCAGCAGCAGCAGCAACTGACCTATGGTGATCGTCTGGGTGCCGGAGACGGTCCCCGGCACTACACACAGCAGCAGCAGCAGCAACTGACCTATGGTGATCGTCTGGGTGCCGGAGACGGTCCCCGGCACTACACACAGCAGCAGCGGCAGCAACTGACCTATGGTGATCGTTTGGGTGCCGGAGACGGTCCCCGGCACTACACACAGCAGCAGCAGCAGCAGCGGCAGCGGCGGCAGCGGCAGTGGCGGAGCCGTGCGGACGCCGCGCACCGGCGGCATGTTCACCTCTGACCCGCGGCGCTCGTGACGCCGCTGGCGCCGGCTTCAAAGCGAGCCAACGGCGCCTGCGGGACCACCTGCGGCCGGGCACGAGGCGTCAGCTGAGCACGGACAGCCACTGAGCAGCGTGGCGTGACGTCATCGGCCTCTAGTGACATCACGACGGCCAGCCACGACCAACAGGTGTGCAGCAGGCCAGGGAAAATGGGCTAACGCGCCCGGTCGATAAGGCGCGCCAGTCTTCGCACAACTGGTTCACCGCGGAAACGTTTCAATAGCGTTTCTGCAAGCGCCTCCACCTGTGCCTGTTGTTATTGCAGAGGCGGACCCAGAGTTTCTCGTCGAGTTTGACAGTATGGTGCCCCATCTTTGGAGCAGAGTCATTGCAAGTCTTAACGTGGTCTCGATGTGCTTCATAGTCCCAAGTTCGGCGTATCTGAATACATACCGTCGACTTCAGCACACTTGTTGATGTTTAAATAACTATCCTAGAATCACTGGACAACAACCAGAAAACAAAATGTTCAATTATCTTCGCTTCCCCCTCTGTCTTTTGTGCAACGGCTGTCACCATCTCTGGACTCGTTCGCCACGCGCCACGTCGTCACAGTTGGTCCGTCTCTTACAGAACTCACTCGGGTACGACGCGTCGGGTCATCATTCGTCAGGTACTCTATGGAGCAAACTGAGAGGCAAATCGTCATGTGCAACACAGGCGTTGAATTTTGAAATCCAGCCGAGATTCTTGGACTGGGGATATTTTTGAGTCAGGGATACAATAAAAGGAAAACGAAATTTGAGATCAGGTCTAGTTTTGGCTGCAGACGTGTTCCTCGGACGGTAACGGCAGATACTCTGAGGCAAAGGGGCACCATGTTTACAACCATAACAAACACTATGTTTACATCGTTATTTTCCAACGAAACCATATCATGGACGTCAAACTTTCTCAAAGACTGGACGGCTTCTTCGCTGTCACCCCTCACAATCCTCTCGCAGTGCATGCTTTTATTTTAAAGGGCGATTTTGGGGAAACTCTGTAGCATAACAATAATTCTAACAAGGTGTTACGTAGATTTTGCAAACAGGGCCTATTAATCTGCGAAAGCCATCAGTAGTTAATGGCGATATGCACGCATGCTGTAAGGGATTTTCTAGAAACATTACATGTACAATTTCATAAATCTACGGAACCGCAACCAGTCGACATCAGTGACGCTAGTTTGCACCTATCACTTCCAACCGGCGTGACCGCTGTTCCTGAGAAAGCGGCCAGCCGCAGCTGCGCCCAGTGCGCGCTCAGTCGGCGCTGGCTCTAGCAGCGGGCGGTGACACAACCCAGCCGACCTGTTTGTGGCCGCCCGAGGCGATCGCAGCCGAGCGGCGTCTCATGTCGCAGCGGGCGTGTATTTTCGTCCGCCGCTTGGCACGCCAGCCGCCACTTAGCGAACGGCACCGGGTTCGGCCGCCAACGGTCCCGGGTCAGCCGCTGCCGACCAGCCCGCGACGCGCTGGAGGGTGACCTCGGGCTGGCGGGGTCTTCGATGAAGTGATGGGGTCGCCAGTGGGCGAAACTAAGTCGGTGAGGTCATCGGTGGACGACCTTTTGGGTCGGAGCGGGTACTGCCGGACGACGCTGGGCCGACGGAGTGTCTGGGGAGGACCTCGCAGGTCATATCTGGACAGCGTTGGGTTGGCGAGATCACCACTTGCGATCGCTTTGGTTACTCTGACCCCTGTCTCGCACAGGAGGTCCTGTGCAAGACAATGGATGCGTGAGCAATTCATTTGAGTATATCGGTTTGGATCCTTCATCACCCCAGCGGCAAAACGACAATGTCTGGCTTCCATGGCCTCTTAACCCTGTTTCCACCGAAAGTCTTCAGAGGCTCACTCTCTAAGGTTTTTCGGAACAAATCTTGAACACTTTTGAGCACGGTGCTGAAATTTTGGCGAGCTAAGTTTACATAGTTTTGGCACATGTAAAACAATTGTTTCTCTTCAGAGAGCTTCATCATTTGCGACCCCTTTGTCGGGGTTATATCGGTGGCATTTTACTCAAAGTGACAAAAATACTTATCTCTCGCAGACACTACACGTCAGAAGTTATCTGGACTGTTTTTCTTGTCTTTATACATCAACCATCATTATGATTGTTGTGACACGGTCAGGTCATCCAAGGTCAAACTTGTTCGAATGTTGACCTTTGCATCCAAATTTGATGTTCTTCAGGCCATCCGATTAACAACTTAAAGAGAATGTTCCGCCTTTAAAGATATGGATGCTAACACCATTTATGATAAAATATGCTTACTTATAACTATTGGTATAACTTAAGGTGGGAAAGGCTGCTCTAAACAGCACAATGTCTTTTTTAAATGTGCGATTATTTGATTACGTCATCGTACCTTGCACAACACTGGCTTAGGGCCAGTTGACCGTCGTTATATCTGAACATCATGCGTGCGAGCGTCAGATATGAACGATTAGACAGCTACATTTGTCCTGGCCTTGATTGTCGTATGGCCAATAGAATGGCGGAATTCGAACGACGTTATTATGGCGTCATGGATTCCTGTTTAACCTTAAAATAGCCTTCCCCAAATAGTCTGCAAAACTTCGCGGGCGTGTGCCTCAGAAACAAGAGGGGCTTAGGTCTTCAGAAGAAAAGGGCTGTGAACCGCACCGAAGGATTTTTAAAATGGCTATGTCAGAACAAAAACCCATACAAACGTGGAACATTCCCTTTAATGGCGCATGTGTTACAGCTTCCGAAGACCTTTGCAACGATTGTTTCCAATTTAGGTGATTTGTTATGTTTCTTATACAGCAAGACTGGTTAATACAACAACTGACCTCACCCCCTTTTACTCGACATGACCCGTCACGGGCACATCCGTCGACTTCCACTAGTTCCCACCCGATGTCGTTTTCCAAAAGCTATTAAACGCTCTCTTCGACATTATCGTAGTATGCCGAGTTATTGAAATAACAGGATCAAATAACAGTATCAAGTTCCGATTTGACCGCCATGGCCTAATTTGACCAGTCAAAGGTCACAGTTACCATTTTCGGGTCCAACTGTCGGACGCATTTTGACAAGGGATCACAATTTCATTTTTTTCGTGATTTATCTCGCTTAGCTTTTTTAATCTTAATGGCCTCTGAGGCCCCAGCTCATAGGGCGAATGTTAAAACACTTGCACGGCAAACGGTAGGGCCTCTGGCTCTCTGATTCATTCCTGAAGACCTTCTGGAGACCCAGGGGACGCCTCAATGTTCATGCGATGGCCTCAGGGGTGGCCCGTCCTGGAGCTCAAGGGCTGTGCCGATATACTTTAATCCTTAATTTGCTGGCGTGATATTGGTTGCCGCGCACTTTTTGACCTGCCTATGACTCATTGGCCATTTCGGTGGTCTTGTTGGCCCTCTGGTCGGCTTGGAGAGCTGCTGTTCACAATGAGCGTCAGAATTATTGGCGTCACACCTATTCCGGATCTGCTGATTATTCCTTGCCAGCCGTGTATGTTTGATTTCCTTATGTTGATCAAGTTTGATGTGTTTGTGCTCTCCCTGATTCGCTGTTTTTCGTAGCGCAGACTGATAGAGGGGGGGGGGGGGGGCTTGTTGATGCGACCCATTCTTCCGTTTCCAAACTAAGAAAGATCGTGCTTCACAGAAAGAGCCAGCGTATTTGTCTCAACAACATTGTCTGATCAGTAGTACGTTTGATGGTATCGGGTCGATATTTGACTCCTCTAGGCCAGGTCAGGGGTCAATTAAACAGACGTGTTTTTTGTTCAATTTTGGGCACAATCGGGTGCAGTTTAGGTGCTCTGAGCATATATTTACGATAAAGGGCTCGTTAATGTAGCAGTGTTAGCTTCCGCGCGCGGTCCGCGGAATCATCGGTCGCCGTGTGCCGCCCGCGCTGGCCGTAAATCGCTGTGCGGTGTTCATAAAAAACATTGCCACTCAGAAAAATAAATGCTGGGAACACGTCTTTGGCCTCACAAACGTGCAATGGATCACCTGGAAGATACCGCAAATTTGTGCGCACTTGCACGGTATGCCGGAGAGGCACCCCCAGAAAACTCCACGGGGTCGCCTTACCTCTCCCCCTTGTCAGGGCGAGGGCTAAATGAAATGTTTTACATTTGCACGGGGTCCTTAACTGAAATAACCATATTGAAGATCATTTGGTGCAGTTCACAGCCCTGCCCTTCTTAGAACCTGAACCTCTCGAGTTTTTGGGCCATTGGGCTATAGTTCCGGATCCTATGCATTGGCTCGCCAAGGTGTGCAGACTACTTCGTGTAGACTTTTTCAAGGTCACCCAGGCATTCATGACGCTTTGTCAACATCACCCAAGCCCTGTCATTCTATTGGCCATACAGTGATTAAGGCAAAGATAAATATGACTGTCGAGTCGTTCATAGCTGGTGTTCGTGGTATAATTTCCAGATATAACGACCGTCAGTTCGCTCTCAATAAATGTTGTGCTGGGTACGGTGACGCGATCAAACAATGACGTATCGAGGAGCATATTTACCTTAAAGAGAATTATGCTGTCTGGGGCTTTTCATTTAACCAAGTGAGCCTACTTCATCATATCTCATGTTTGCTTCACTCTCTTCAAATTTGGAGGTTCACTTTAAGATTCGCAGTATGTTGAAATCCCATCTAGGTTACAATACAACATGAAAGGTTCTGTTCGCATGTTCTATCTAAGTACAAAAAAGCATCAATTTTATTCCTTGGTCTGCAAAAACCTTTGTGTGCGACAATGCGGAAAGGCCGCTAAGAAAATTATTAAGCCTCGGACAGGAGCATTTTGCGCGCCAGGCCCATCAATGTTCACTTTCCAGATGAGGGCCCTCGAAAGTTCAAAGTTGCGTCGTATATCCTAGCTAAATTATACATGATAGACAGGATTGGGACGTTTTATGCTACATGGGGCCACATATCAAGAGGTCAAGGTCATCAGACCTAAACCCCACAAGCCCGTTTCAAGTTTTGATAATCGGCCCGAATTACTGTCGGCTTCCTGAACGTCAAAGATCTTACTGTCCTCCAAAACTGTCCGAGGTTGTGGAAAGATTTAAATTCTAAGGCACGACTGGCCAAGGTTTTGATGCCGAAGCATGCGGAAATCTGAAGGTGCCCTTCACGGACCCTGCGATGTTTATTTGAGCCATGAAATGGCCTTGTACTGAGCGCGGACCCCATTGATCAATCACAGAGGCACACCACTGCGTCGAGCCGGAAGTTATGAACGATTTAAACCTGGGGGGATTAAACAGGTTTGAAATCGCTTAATATCTATGGTTTTGGCACCCCAGACATACTAAATACATTGGGAACTTTTTACGGGTGTGTAGTGCCTGTCGTTTAGCGCATTGTCATAAGGTTATGCATATGTGGTCCGCACACGTTTCTTGCATGGTTCTGTAATTCGCACAAGTTTGTGGTATGCTTACATTTTGATTACTTATAAACCTATTTCCATATGATCTCTTATAGTATTTTGTTAGGAAGGGAATTGCGTGCTGCACGCGAAAATGCCTTTAATGTTAATCAAAGTATCGCAAACGGATTGCACGCTTAAGTTTTGATGACCCTGGCGTGGTGTGACCTCAACGGGGGGCGAGTTCCATCGCGCCAAACAGCTCTCAGCATCTGTATTCTCGATAGATACCGCCTTCGTTTGACGCCAGCCTGGCTCTGGTTGCTCCGTACCAGCCGCGTGCTGCAGTACACACGCCGCGGGTGATTCATCGCTAACGCCAGAGACGTCCGGCGCTTCCAGACCACGCCAGAACTGCTGACGTCTTCCGTGGTAGACAGGCCTGATCTGCTCTATACTGTTCAAGGGGGACGGCCTGATTATTGCTGTTGGGATTGGTCCGGGGTGACGACACGCTGGCGCACGTACGGGCCGTTTGTGCTCTGGGATCAGAGGCTCAGAACGCCAGCTGCTGGCCTAGCACTCACAAAATACACCTACCTGCCGCATCAGCACTACACTACCTGCTGGCCCAGCACTCACAAGATACACCTACCTGCCGCATCAGCACTACACTACCTGCTGGCCCAGCACTACCTGCCGCATCAGCACTACACTACCTGCTGGCCCAGCACTACCTGCTGCATCACATGGCAAGTATGCGCTCAAAGTGGCAACCAGGAAGTTCAGGGAGCGTGCCGGGAACGAGGGGCATGCAATCCGCAACACCTCATGCAGTTGTCAGCGCAAAGCGTTATGCCTTTAGCTACGGGCATCTTACGGCGTTATAAGCGGGCTAGGTACGGATCGTTCGATGTGACTTTATCGACTCCTCGTGAACAGGAATGAGTTCCTCCTAATTCTAAGCAGACACCTGTAAAATTCGTGTTCCCCTGCACACACTATTGGATTTTCTCTTGTGGAATGGTATGCTGCTTTTTTACATTGCCGACTGTGGCAGCAACGAGTCAGGGTCTCCGCGCTGTCCAGACATGCTTGTACTTTGGATGTCATGAAACATTTAACCATTGGAACTTGCGCTTGTATAAAAGTTGGTTTAACCTGTCGATAACTAGTCGGCCAACTTGTACATAATCCTCCATACCCTATTTCCTGTTGACTCAATGGCGTCCTAAATCGTCATATGAGAGCATTCAACAACGTGGTCTCTCACCAAGTTAGCATATAATATTTTTAGCACAGCCGGTCATTTGATGGTGGTACCATGGTGGGCACTCGTGACTAGCGTGTGACGGCATGGGTGTCTGAGAGCATTTTTCTGACGTGTAAGGTTGGGCACCTTAAAGCGTATTAAGAACACTTCAATTTGATTGCATGTGAGTAAGCAAGTCTTGTCAGAATAATATGGAATTGCATGCGCCATGTGTTGTTTTGGGAAGTTGCACGTTATGCGCCATAAATGCTGAGTTAGTTCTAGAAACAGGAAAATCAAGAAAGAAGAAGACCAATGAACGCAATATCATTATGGGAATGGCGCCATACGTGCGAGAATACGTGTCAAAATCCAAGTTGAATCTGTCGTGTATTTTCTGCACAATCACCTGACGCAGGTCCGCCCAGCTCTAAGATGCCAATAGAAAAAGCCCAGCCATAGCAACTGGTGTTTAAGAAATAAACGGTTTTATTATCATGCTACTGAGGAATATCGCTCAAAATTTAGACCATTTGGTACCCAGCATAGATAGTTTTCTCTTAAATTAATGAGGTATTAGGTATATGAGGTATATGAGGTATTATAGCTCCACGTGGCTTAGCATTGGATTATGTCCGTAATTAAGTACTCATCATCTTTATATCTCAATTTCGGGTGGATACGATAAAGAAGTGTTATTTTTTCCAACTTTAAAAATTTGATCAAAGTTCAAAATTTAGAACATTTGGTACCCAGAATAGCTAGTTCCTCCTAAATTAATGAGGTGAAGCGTTATGTGGTTTAGCATTGGATAATGTCCGTAATTAAGTACTCATCATCTTTTTATTTCAATTTCGAGTGGATATGATAAAGCAGTGTTATTTAGCGCTCGACGCTTCTTAAAAATGGCATAAAGGCTATAAGAATCCCAGATCAAGCGAGGAAGATGTCTTGCCCAAGATGTTAAAATTGTAATCCAGAACTGCGGTGTCATAGGTAAATGAATGTTCTCGTGGGGGAGGAAGCAGGTCTTGTATGAAATTTTCCCGTTCCGATAGATTCACCCAAATACTACTGAATGCGACTGTGCAAGTTCCGAAGGGGAACCTATGTAGGATGTCCACACGAGGCACAACAAAACGTGTATATAACAGTCGGTTGGCAGCATTTAGGTAATCTATTCCTACGTTTGGAGAAAGAACCTCCTGAGAAGGAATTCAGCAGAATAATCCAAGGATCTAAAAATGGATGGAATTTTGATAGCAGACTGATCAACTCACGTTTGAGGCCTTCGGAAGCTAAGCTCAAGTACGGCAGAATGAATACTTTTTGAGTTTTGGAAAGCTAAAGGGCCTGGACGAAGAAAGAAGCCTAGCATCGAGGAACCTACGAATCAATAAATGGAACCCGTATGTGTGTGTGTGTGTGTGTGTGTGTGTGTGTGTGTGTGTGTGTGTGTGTGTGTGTGTGTGTGTGTGTGTGTGTGTGTGTGTGTGTGTGTGTGTGTGTGTGTGTGTGTGTGTGTGTGTGTGTGTGTGTGTGCTTGTTCTTTTGCCTGATGATGCAGCTGTTGTTCTGTGAAACGCTGTCATAAGATGCATAAGGTGACAGCATATGCTAATATGAGTCACTTCTTAGTGAGCGAGCTATATATACATACATACATACATATATATATATATATATATATATATATATATATATATATATATGTGTGTGTGTGTGTATATATGTACATATATATACATGTAATTACATCTATTTTGTGGGTGCGGACACTGCGCCTACGACCTAGATATTGCAATACAATTTTCTTCGTCTCCCCCAGCCATCAAACGGCACGGCAGGCTTGGGTGCGGTGGTGGTGCGAGCAGCCACCTCACAGCGCGGAGCCAACGGACATACTTTGAGGGGAGCGCGAGGACATGGTCCCGAGCTGTGCGCCATCCAATGGCCGCACAACAATACGCTCAAACTACTTGTTCCAGTAGTTAAAGCGTATTGTTCCCCATCGAAAGCTTTCGTTTCGAGCTTGGTTACCAGGAAACGTTTTGCTCCCCCTGCACAACCATCAGCGTGAGAGGTTGAGACTGAAGCCTTTGGTCACCCTGACAGGCTTATGAGGTTCAGAATCAGAGCTACACAACGGCCAGTCGTATACTGCATTGAGAGCTGCGAAATATGTCGCGCAGGAAGGCCTGCAGGCAAATGCGGCGTGACGAATTCATATTGCACCACGTGTGGCTGGAATAAAGCCAGTCATTGCTTGTTGGAAAGATTACCTCCAGAGCGATGCTTGCTTATGTCCTACAGGCGCATGCCACTGAAGTCTCGGGAACGCACAAAGTGAGCTCATGGCCAACATATCGTTATCTGACTCGAGGCAGATCGGGTTATGACACCACTCGTTAGGCGGTGGCTCGGGTTATTACACCATTCGTTTGGTGGTGGCTCGTGTTATTACACCATTGGTTCTCGCAGTTGTATGTTGTCTGAGGTGGAATACCTTTTGATATGTTATGCTGATGCATAAAGACACGGGTTTCCATTTAGTGGTGTTAGGCTCTTCCAGCTCTTAAATGAGCCACTCTCATTGAAGATTTTGAGTGTCCGAATGCATTTACGAACATCGGTGTCATTACCGACGCAGATATGGCCAATATAAAGGCAGGTTTCGATGCCTCCACGAACTGATGTGCTGTCGCCAATGACGGGACGTCGCCAAACCGTCGGGTAAGCGGGAGGGGTTCGATCTAATTTGAGTACGTCTCCAGTGCCTTGTAAGCATGAGGGGTTCAGTCTAATTTGAGTACGTCTCCAGTGCCTTGTAAGCAGGAGGGGTTCGATCTAATTTGAGTACGTCTCCAGTGCCTTGTACGCAGGAGGGGTTCGATCTAATTTGAGTACGTCTCCAGTGCCTTAAGTCACATTCAGCTTCGGGGTCTGAAGCCTTTCCAGACCAGTCAGCGGTGGTTACATACCAGCGACAGTGCTATTGACTGCGGACGCCACTAATTCAGATGCCACAGCGTTAAAAGTCGAGGCCATTCGTGGGATATTTGTCAACAGACTTCTCGCCAGAATAAGCACTAGCTGAAGAATTGGGTACGGAATCGCAATCGCCGAGCGCTGGCGAGGGATGTTCGGGGTGATGAGCACGTGAGCGTCCACTACCCTCATGAAAGGATGTCACAGTTACTACAACTTGGACTGAATGTAGACTCGTGAAATTTGGTAGTTTAACTGAAGAAAAATCACATACTCCATCAAGCTTCAAACGAATCGTATGATTTCGTTGTTGATCTGCTGTGATGTGTTTGTTGACACGATTTGCTGTTTGGTTGGTCCTTCTGGGCTAGCATGTGTAAATGTATCCGCCATTCAAAGAGCATAGCAGGTAGGGCTCACCGTTGACGCCGGCAGCCCTCCACCGGCAGCCGGCAGACTTCCACCCGTCCACGTCACACGCTCAGCCGGTCCAGGCACTACCGGTTCGTACCGGTCCAGCCACTCGCCGCGTCACCCCGCCGCTCGTGCTCCCTCCACGCGCACAGCCACCCTGAGCGGCCCGTCAACTCCGACCGCGTCGGGTCCGACGCACCGACGCGACGGCCCGCGCCGCCCCAGACGGGAGTAAGCCCGGAGGCGGCGCGCGGCGAAGCGGCTGAGCAGCGCGGAGTGGGTCGGCCGCCGCCCCTGTGCGTCGCAGCCGGGCCGGGTGGAGCATGGAGCACAGGTGAGGAAGACTGGGTAGAGGTCAACAGGAACTACGGCCCGACAATGACGAGAAGTGAATTAAAATCTGCCTGGATTCAGGAAGACTTCAGGTAAAAAAGATACTGTGATGGCAAGTTGTCGAGATGGATGTAAGAATGGTCGCTTGGGCCAGATAGACATGTGGTTTGCGCATAGGACATAGGGAACATAAGTGGAACCCGTGAATTACATTGTGTTGCATCAGCGTCTTTCGGTGTCTACCGGGTGGGTGCAACGGCCGTCCAGTGTCATAAACATCGAGGCATTGTAGATGCGTATGTGTGCATGGCCTTTACATTGACGTGTTCCAAACTACGGTCTGGGGCACATTAGAGCCTGAAATGGGCATCCTCAGGTCGTTCGAACGCACCTAACGTGTGGGGGCACAGCATATCAAGTAGCATCACTTCATTATGTCAGAGCAATCTGAGCGTTTTAACAGCACACTAGTTGTATTGCGGCGGCATGCCACTAAATTGCGTCATAGGAGGGATTTAAAACCAAAATATGTGGAGATATTTAAATGATACACTGCCCATGAGAACTTCGTTGCTGACAGTATATTCGACCTCGTAAAACTGCGCATTTTTACCGCTATCCCGCCCCGATCTCGCCATCCGCAGGACCCATGGTTAAAAGCTGAGACATGAGAATATGGAGATGATCAATTTTTTAAAGCGAGTTAAAAACGCATCTTTACACATCATTTAAATTGTTTACGTGCAATTCACCAACTCCAAAAGACAGCCATGCACTTCGGTTGTTTGCATTATTTTGATTGGCTCAAATTTCAAATATTTTTAATGCGACCTTATGATAATTATTATTTTTCTCTCAGTGCGGCGTTGGGTATGTGATGAGATGCCCTTTGCAACTTCCACTCCATTGTTTGTTGATGCTTCGTCCCAGCCCACCTCGGGTAAAATAAGCTGTCACTGATTAAGAGCAGAAATAAGCTTCTGACTCGATGGGATGACCGACGAATCGACCTACCTGTTAAAGCCGAGCTATTAACTAATCCACCCATCTGTTGCATGCCCTTAGCACACCTGTTTTGTCTTGCCTATTGTCGCTCTCTAATGGCGCTGTTCATGTATCCTTGATGTAGGCCATCAGCCAAACGATGGAACATTGTAAATTCGTGGCAACAAATTATAAAGCATACCTGCTTCAAAGATAACATACTTATATCTACAGGCATGAAAATGATACGGCCGACCTCTTATGGACCAAACACCAACGACAATATCTTAACAGCTTCGCTGCGTCATTTTTGTCCCCATGCACTGCGACAGAAAGGCATGATTTGCCTCCTTGCGTATATGGTTCGATATGCAAGGCACAAAACGTACAATGCCCTTGCCTGAGCCTGCGTTGGGAGGCGCCCAGATGGAGCTCCGTCATGGGCCGTCGGCAGCTGTTGAACTTTCCGACGGCGCCAGCTGGCCGGTGAACCGATCCTGTCACATGACCGTCGCTGGACGACTGCAAAGCTCCAGCGGCCGCCTCCTCCACCGGCAGCTGCTCAGGTGGGGAGGCCTGAACAGAGTGGCCGCCTCCTCCACCGGCAGCTGCTCAGGTGGGGAGACCTGGACAGAGTGGCCGCCCCCTCCACTGGCAGCTGCTCAGGTGGGAAGGCCTGGACAGAGTGGCCGCCTCCTCCACCGGCAGCTGCTCAGGTGGGGAGGCCTGGACAGAGTGGCCGCCTCCTCCACTGGCAGCTGCTCAGGTGGGGAGGCCTGGACAGAGTGGCCGCCCCCTCCACTGGCAGCTGCTCAGGTGGGGAGACTAGGAAACAATGGCTCGCCGCACACCCGCCGTCTTGCTCACGACATCCTTATAAGATCAAGTCCTCAGGACGTATTTGCTTTTATGATGCACCCGGCCGGCCAGACGGGCCACGTATTTTTCACGGTTCAAATGGCGAAGCACATGTGAGACGTGCTGGTTCATCTCTGTGAAGTTTTCGCAATGGTGCACGACCAGGTGGCTGGCACTGGACGTCTCTTTCGCAATGGTGCACGTCCGGGTGGCTGGCGCTGGATGTCTGCGCTACGAATCAGATCACTGGAGCTCTACATCCCGTTACGTTCTTGACAAGACACACCTTGACTTGTTTTGCCAGAGTCGACGCCTCGCCCAGTGCTATGACATCGATCTGTGTAGGCGGGAGCCACTCAGTGCCGCCTCCTTTAGCTGCGTCAGGTGCGACCTTGACCGTGGAGTCGCTGTTCACCGCATTGACTCCGCTTATGTTGAGCATGTTACTAAGGCGATTCTGTTCCGGACTGTTGAGCTCAGTGGGATGGGCTTCACTCTGACGACTGAGTCGAGGAATGTCTCTGTCCCGGCCCACTAGCTCTCGTCTCATGGCACCAAGGAGCTACTGGAGCCGCGAGCAGATTTATTATTCTGTACTCCGAAAGAAATAGGCTGCCCACGAGCCGCCTTCAGCTGCCTTTTACAGCCGCCTTCAGGTCTGCAGACTGCGTGGTAGCTCAACCGCTGTCGCACGGCACTCAGTACAGCGTCTTGGACACGCGTGTCTTGTCTGGTGCAGCCGTGGATGGTCACCGACACGTACAGCTCAAGCGACCTTGTCCGATTAACCCGGCAAGGGAGGGGGGGGGGGGCGGAAGCCGAGAGGGGTACTGCATTCCGCCCGCTGTCCGAAGAGAAGCCGAGTGGGGTACTGCATTCCGCTCGATGTCCGAAGAGAAGCCGAGTGGGGTACTGCATTTCGCTCGATGTCCGAAGGGAAACTGAAAGGGGAACTGCGTTTCGCTCGATGTCGAAAGGGAAGCGAAAAGGGGTGCTGCATTCCGTTCGATGTCCAAGGGGAAGTCAAGATGGGTGCTGCATTCCGGTCGATGTCCGAAGTTCTTTTCAATCATATCAATTGTATTTCCACGGTTTGCACTACCTATTTACAGAAGCAAAGAACCTCAAAAAAAATGCAAAGAGCTTTTTACCCGCTCTTTCCATACAGCACCTTAAACGTGTTATATTTCCGAAAGCTAGTGGCACGTTGTCCCCGTTCCCTCGGTCTTAAAGCAATGCCGATTTGTTAGATGTCGAAGTTACTAGAACAAACAATTTCAAATTTGGTTGGACAACTACTTTCATCATAGGTATGCGAACCTGTGAGTTACAAGGCATCCCGCCGTGTGTTCAGCATGTAACAAACTGTTTGGGCAGCAAACAGCACTGTTTGCTCTTCAGAGCACCTATGACTGCATTGACGTACACCGTAAGTACCGGCAACGTCGACGCGTGATTGTCAGCTGAACACAATTCTACATGAGCCAAGCTAGTGTTTAAGAAGAGCCCGGTCTCACCGCGATTAACAGCCAATAAATCCAGGTCATTCGTGTATCGGCATTCTGAAAGGACAAAGGGGTTTTCAGTTTCAGCCGTCGGGGGAATCAGGTCCATTGTCTGCTTGGCCTGCCCATGGCTCCCCCCCCCCCCCCCCCCAGGCCGAATCTAAATTTGGAAGGGTCTCTTTGGATAAAGCCAATCCTTATTTGAACGTCGTTTCAAATAGCATGTCCCCCAGAAGATACGGGCGTGTACACGCTGGTCTGATGCTAGGGCGGCGGAGGGAGTCAAACTGAAACGTCAGCAGGGCTGCCGCCGATGTAAGCAGATCGTCGCGGGAGTTGTCAAACATGTCGGACCCAGAGGCCTGATGGGTCTGGCAACATATCATTACGCATAATGATACCGTAAATAAGAAGATCTACCCATCGCACTACGTGTAGCTTATGCATGGTGATACTTCGGACAAGCGCAATAAATCGTAGCAACGCACACTAAGTTGGTAGAACAGGCAGTAAACACGGAAGTGCTTGGTGCATCTCTGCCAGAACGTGAAAAGTTAGGACCGGTTTCGACGCTTTTGGAGCTCGGAGGGAATGCTTTGAGTGAACTTTGGGATAATTCAGTCCTGCCGTCTAATCGCAGTTAGTGCGTACTCGCAGAGAATATGGTTCAACGTCCATTTGTAACTCCTAGATCGAGTACGTAGAGCGTGTTGACCCTCAACGCCTGACAGCACGCCGATGCTTGCACCAAGCGAGGCAGGACGCCAGAGAGTGTACTCGGCCGCGACGATAGGCCCGCTGTCAGAGGGCGTACCGTGTCGTGTGTGCCCTGTAGTGAGAGCGTGGGGGAGGGCGTGCCCGCTACTGCGCACTAATAGTGAAAGCCTTGGGAGGCATCCAGCCAGCAAACAGTGGTTGTCGTCCCTGGCCGATTTCGGCGGGGAGATGTGAAGACCGGCGCCCTCACCCTCAAGCCGACGGGCCTCGTGCTTCGCGCTGCAGGCACATTCATATCCAGTTGTTCCGACCGTGAGGTCGCCGGACCAGGGGACCGGAGTACCGGCACGACCAAGGTCGCTGGCGGCCCCTCGCCAGTCGTGCGGCCGGGTGCCCGTGGTGAGCTATTCGACCGGATGTACCGTGTCGCTGTGGTGCTGACGCATCTGCTGTTGCTGCTGGTCATTTGATCAGCATTGATGTCTCACACGTAGCGTCCCGGCGCACGGGGCGGCCGCCCGCCGGCCGTTCAAGGTCGGACCGTTGTTCGAACGGTGCAGCCGGTATTTACACAAGCACCACCTCGCGTCCTTTCTGACCCAAGCCTCTCCCTGACCCAAGTCCCTCCTGATCGAATTGCGGGAGGAAGGTCATCCGCGGAAGGTGCCGTTCTCTCGCGAGCTGCCGGCAGTAGCACATGCAGAGAGACACAGGGGGCACGTGCCCTCCCCCTTAGGTTCTGACGGGCCTTCCTCGGAACCTGCGACCAAGAGCCCGATTTGAGGGCTAGGAGCGCCTGAAGGGCCGGCCGTAGGTCGTATCCAGGGGCTCTGGCTCGCAGGGCCGGGCACTCCAATACCAGCTAGAGGGCCGTGCGCGCTGGTCAGGGGGCCCCTGAGCCGATAAGTGCTTATATGTCGGCCAGACACCACCAGTAACGCACAGTCGGCTCCGTGGTGGCATGGGTCTGAGGACCCATTTTCCAAGCAGGAACAAAGCCGGGGCCAGCGATTTACATTGGACCCTCGGAGTCTGTTAGGGCCCCACAACGCCTAACGGGAAAATTTCTTGGCAAGGAGCCCCGGGTCGGCCTGAGGCAGTGTTCGAGGAGGCCCGAAGAGTCTGGAGGGCCCATCGGATCCGGCAGTCAAGCGCCCGATTGGAGGGTCTAAGGGCACGAAGGGCTGGTCGGAGTTTTATTCAGGGGCCCCAGCCTACGAAGACGGGCCCTCAAATAATGGACGGAGGGCCCTCTGCGCCGATCGGGGACCCTTGAGACGATATGGACCTATATGTCGGTCGGGTACCACCAGTACCTCACAGTCGGCTCCATATCAATATGGACCTGAGGACCCACCTCCCAATCAGGTATAATGCCGGAGCCAGCGATCTGCTCCGGTCGGCGCCCTGTATCTGTCCGAGCCCCACAGCGCCTAACGGAAGGTCCTGTGCTCGCAAGGGGCCCCGAGCCAACCAAAGATAGTGTTCGATGAGGTCCGTAGAGCAGCCCAATCAGCCCAATCGAATCGACTATCAGAGGCCCGGTTTGAGGGCGTCAGGGTCCGAAGGACTGGGTGTAGATCACATTTAGAGTCGCGGTCCGCAGAGTCGTAACATGAAATGTCAACCACAGCTCGCCTTGTACCGTTTGAGGAACCCCTGAGACAATGCGGGTGTCTAATTCGGTCAGGGACCGCGATCACCGAACAGTCGGCCCCATGTTCGTCAAATCCTTGAAATGCCTGGCAGAAACGAGGCCGGGACCGAAGATTTTCGATGTTCGGGTACCTGACACAATGAGGGGCTCCTGCATCGGTTAGGGGCCACAGTACCTAACAAGGGCCCCGTGGCGGCAAGTGGCCCGAGTCGGATCGGTGTTTGAGAGGGCCCGAAGGGGGACGAAGGGTCTCTCGAGACCAAAGACCAAGGGCCCACTTGAATGGCCGAGAGGTCTCAAGGGCTAGCTGCAGGTCACCTCTCAGCTATATGGCTGTGATCTGAAATGGCAGTTAAAGGGCCTCTTGCACTAATTTGGGACCGCTCAGACAAATCGTTCCTCTCTTTCGGCTAGAGATCACGAACAACGAACAACGAACAACGAACAACAGGCTCCGTGTTGGTGTGAGCTCTGGGGGCTATTTCCCATGAAGGGACAATGCGGGGCACGCGTTTTACATGGATCGGGACTCCTGTATCTCTCAGGGGCCCACAGTGCCTAACAGGGTATCCTGTGTCAACATGGGGCCTCCAATCGGCCAGTTTTTGTGTCTTAAAGCGTTCTAAGGTGCCTTTTTCAAAAGCATCATCATTTTCGTCCACCTGTTGGCCATGACCTGGTGTTGGCCGCGGGGCGGACGCTGCGTGGCTTCCGGAGAATGCAGCGCCTGGCGTCGAGGTTTTTGCTGCTAAGATATGCGCTCGCGCTTGCCCAAAATTATGTTACATAGTTTGCATTACTAATCACGATTCTGGCTGAATGTAGAACATATCCGGACAAACATGACCTGGCCATGTGAATACAATTGCTTGAACCTTTTGATCTTCAAGGTACATTTGCGGGGATATTGATATCCTTGCACAGCCCAGATAGAAATCCTGACGAAGTTTCTTAGTTCTATCGGTGTTAAAAGATTCCATTGGACCATGGTAAAATGAAAAGCGCCATCGATTTATTTCATGCAGTCACTCAGCGCATGACTTTTTCAGCTCACTGGCTATAGAAACTCCAGGTAGAATTGATCTCGTGGTAGCGCCCGGCCTCCGTTTTAGTTATAGCAGGCAAAAATGCGTTATATATATATATATATATATATATATATATGTATATATATATAGTCTAAGAACAGCATGCCTCCACTAACAAATGGGTCATACCTGGCGATTTTTGGGGGGCCTTTTTCCATCAAGGAGCCCTTTGTTAACCCTGCGTCCCCCTTGCCAAGGCTCTGGCTGCGCTCCTGAGAGGCCCTATTTGCGTGAAATTGAAAACCATCTTTGGGATATGGCTCAAGTTGGGACAGACACAGACGCATTTCTGATGCCTTCGTTTCGTTAAAGCATGTACCAGTCTTCTTGAAGGGAATGTTCCACCTTTAAAGATATTGGGTTCAAAAACAACCCTAAGTGGAAAAATTTCAAAAAATTAAAAATGCGGCCCATTACGCCATCGTTTGATGGCGTCATGGAATGGTTTTGTGACGACAGCAATACCTGGCGGTATCTGGCAGCCAGACCTAAAGAATATCTCGAAACGCACGAAGGCTCACGCCAGCTGGCCATTCTCGTCGCGGGCGCTATGTCGGGTGGATGGTTAGTGGACGGCTTGTTGGTGGATTTTTTGTCCTGGCACTGGTCGTAAGAAAAGCTTTGGTGGACTGTCTGACATACGCAACGTAGCATTCGCCAGTTGTTTATTGCAGATTATGAATATCAAAGCACGATTTGCTGTGAAAACTGCCATATATTGTCCTGAATGTTATCGAAACCTGCCAAGGACTGTTGAGGATGTCAAAACTGTATTGCTGTAGTCCTGACATGGATGTCATGTGATGTGCATAGTAGCTATGTCTTCATTATATGTAACTGCAAATTCCGTTGTGTGCAAAAATGAATAAATCTGTAGCATTGCTATGAATTGATTGCCAAATCATTGTTATTGCTATGGTAGAGGTGGTAAGGTTAAGCTGTCAATAATTTTTCTTGCTTTGGATTATGTATGCAGTTGCTAGTTAACCCTGATATAACCATTGCGGTGCAACGACATTCTTGCCGACATTCTTGCCCTTTGGCGTTGTTAAAGAGTTGTTATCAGTTATTCATGGATTATAAGCTGTTATATCATAGGCGTGACATAGAGTAGTCAACCGATGTGGTACTCATGTAATGGCACGGGTCAACAGCGTCATTGTGGCACTACCGCAGTGCTGTACTGTGGCGTGGCATAGTAACAACAATATGGTCTTGGCACTGCAATCCCTGCTGGCTTCATGATAAGTTTCATCATGAAAAGATGGGTCAAGCATTCATTTTTGCATTAACTCTGCATCTGACATATGAGTGACGAAAAACACACATAGAATACACAAATCACTTTCAACAAAGCACACAACCAATAAGTGACATCCCTTGCTCAGCCTGTTTTGGGAATCTATAAACCATTGGTGACAAAGGTGCAAACACGTCTTTCGCTTCCACAGCCGTGCAACATGTCGCAACCATCAGGCTGCTTCACTAAAAAATAACAAGAAAATATTGCATGTAGTGAAATGGCACTGCAGACCTGCTACCCCTGAACAAGACTAGAAGCATGACAAGTGCTTGTAGTTTTGGTTCGATGGGCAAAATGCAAGGAAGTGATGAAGCTGCCAGTGCACATAAGGCTCGTGATAAAATATTATTAAGGGCTGTCCAAGAAGCCAATAGCAATGCTTTTCCACCTTTCTCAGCACCCAGCACCTCACACAAGTTGCAGTGACTTTTACATTGATGGCTCACAAGCAGTGCTTGCCTGCATACAAAATTTGTTAAGACATTAGTATGTGCACCTATAATAATACAGCGCTAAATTTTCAGAATTCGTAAGGGAAAGACCATTTTGCAAAGCCGTATGATGTGAGCTTACACCAAGCATGTACAATAAAAAGCTGCGCAGACCAGCTCCTACTGCCAAAATGAATTGCTAATAAAATGGCGTGCAATGGATTAATTACGTGCTGCAATAGCTCATTAGACTCAAAATGTTGGCAAGGTCATGATGAAGTAGCAATTGCCTTTTGTACACCCCTGCAACATAGGTGCTAGAGTCTCTTTCAGTTTGCTGGCATTACTATCTTGTCAGGTTCTAACACGAACATGAAGATATAGGCAGGTATCGATATATCACATTTCACTGGCGGTCAGGAAGCTTGAAGAATACCAAACAACACTTTCTCTCAGAAGTACAAATCTCGCACGCACACTCCCCATCACATCAAGATCAATACAAGTCACTGACACGCACCACCAGTGATCACACCCATTTTAACCCCTGATTCACACTCTTTTGTCATATAAGTGTGATCCCACGCTTGCACAGCTCGCGATACTATCAAATTGCAGGTTTTCTCACAATTTACGCACAGATTTCTGGTTATAACACCGCATTTCATCGTGGGCCCCTTCAAAACAAAGTCCTGACGCGTGTTCATGATAATGCTGCTCAAGAGATTGTACTTCTAGGCCACAATGTTTTGTTCAAGATTTAAATTTGCTGTACAATGTGACTGAAATATTTAGAAATACACGAACATATATATATATATATATATATATATATATATATAATCATTGTAATGTTTACGCAATTTTATAATGCTTTGTGAACCCATAAACCCGTGCAAGGTTCGTTGCTCCGGTGCACAATGCGGCTACCAAGCTGTCTGTAAGAAATGCGCCAGTAGAAAAAGGAAAAAAACGCCAGCAGGAGAAAAAGACGGATTTGCCGTCCCGTCTTCTTTTTCCGACATTCGGGAAAGTGACATTTTTTCGTAGCCGTACATTTTTGCAGACAATGACGTTCTTTTTATAACAGAGACGTACGGCCTAGAAGTAAGGAAAAATGTCCCCGTTGACGACAAGTGCCGCACAACCCGAAAGTACTCACGCTTACGTTCGCGACACGCATTCAGCATCGAAATCTTACTAACAGCCAATCACCCTCCGCGCATTGCATTACACCTGCCACATCATCGCTTTTGCGAATGTGTCAGTGACCATGCTGTTGTAACCATAAGTAGAAAACAGCCCATAATATAACGGCGATCATATGACGTTTCTATGACATCAACGCCAAGGTGACTTTGAAGTAATCTTCCAACAAACCTTTCCCCATTTTTGCGGGCGTGTTACTCAGGAACCAGAGGGTGTTGGGTCTGAAAGAGGGCATGGCCGTGAATAACATAAAAAGGCCCCCAAGATGGCTATTTTAGTTCAGAACCCCATATATAGGTGAGGCACTCCCTTTGAGTTGGGCTACAGCCGTAAATGGTTGTTTGTGTGTGTGTGCGTGTTTTTTGTTCGTTGTTTTTTGCTCATCGTGACACAAATATGAAACATCTGGTATTTGTTTTCTTTGGACAGTTGTGTGGTCCCACCCTTCTGAGACCCAGATGCAGCCTTCTTCCAGCACGCGGCCACTGCCCTTGCCCAGCATTTGCACCATCGCTTTCACCGCAATTTGAGCCGAACCCGGAACACAGCATATTGCTCCTTTCTTTTCAGGCAGCCTAGACGCCCAGTTTCAATTTGTATGTACCAATCACTGGGTCCCAGCGAAAAGCGCCCATCAGGCAACGCATGTCGCGCCAGGCTTGGAGCATGTCTAAGGTTTGGTGGAGAATATGATGATGGTTGGGATGGGGCTCAAAGAGCACACGTGGTTTTCATAATGGGACATAGCCACGAGGAAGCCCGCATGTTGGACGAAGCCCAGTGCTACCTGCCACGGGTTGAAATTCTGCCACATACTCAGTTGCTTTGGCTGTCGAGTCCGTTCGACGTTTTTTGCAGTCCAAGATAGCAAATGTAGCCGTAGAGCGAGCTAAAACGTGAGGCCCCAAGTCCCGAAAGCGGAGGACGATGGCCTCACGACAAGCTTCGAAGCTGTTTTGGGATTGAACTATTACATTGTCCAGGACCGGCGTGCCCGCATTCGTCGCAGCAGCTGTTATTCTGACATAAGTGGAATGTCATTGTATAAATGAACGTTTCGGTTGTGTGCATATATTGAAGGTTTTGGTGATGACAGAGGCATTCAGTGATACACCAACTCCTGGTGACGTTTCTGGGCATGGACGTCATTGCCATTTTATGTTATATGGTGTTGTGTCACGCTTCTGGTGACAATTTTGTCTGCAGAATTTGGTCGGCGACAAAAATACACTTTCGACCCCTGTTGCTAAGCTTTACGGGCGCGCATGCTAAAAACTACGTTACATAATTTGTATCACTAATGATTCTGACTGAGTGTTGAACATTTCCAGACATACATGGTTTGTCCATGTTAATATAGATTGCAGACCCATTTCGATAGACAGGCTACATTCGTGGGTTCCTTAATATATGTGTGAAGCCCAGTTAAAAATTCGGGCAAAGCCTCAGATTGTTTTGAGTTCAGAAAAATTCCACTGGACCACTATAAAAAGAAGAGCGCCGGCGATTTATCTCACACAGTAGTTTAACACAAGATGTCTTTAGGTTCTTGACCATAAAATTCAGGCAGAATTGATCTCGCGGTAGCTTCTGGCTCGTCTTCCAGTTATAGTAGGTACAAATTAAAAAATGCCAACTAAAATATGCCCTCACTAACAACTGAGCATATCTGTCGATTTCCTTTTACGGGGAGGGGGGGGGGTTCACTACCAGGGTGCCGTATGTCAGCGTTGTGCGCGTCCCTTTGCCAAGGATCTGGCTGCGCGGCTGCGGGGACGCCAACGACTCTTAGCGTAGGATCTTAGAGCCATTTCATGGTACAGTTGTACCATGTAGCCCTTTCGTGGCACATAGTAACAAGTATTAAGGTTTGCTACGTCAAAAAGCAGGACGAAAGGAGTTGAGTGCTGCCAACACGGAGAGAGCAAGGCGTGATTCGCTTACAACAATAATTATGCTGCCCTTATCGGTTGCTATGCAAGCCTTAAGACTGTCAAACAGTTCATTCAGTTCAGTTTGTTGCGGATGCTTCCTGAAATACTTCCAGGCTTTTCATGAACCAAGTCAAGATTAACAACAAAAATAGGAAGGGAAAACAAACTCACAAGTTTAGCAATTCAAAGCGGACCTGCAAGGGACATCAAACTCACCAGTCCCACAATTCAAACCAAAAACTAACAATTCGCAGACCAGCGCAGCAACGTACACTCAGCTCAGCTGGTCACCTCGGAGCAGATGGTGCATCACATCTGCCTCGCAGCGCGACGCGTGCCTGCTGTTTTGCGTAGCGGCTGGCAGACGATGAACCAATTTTGCGGTCCCGTGGCTAAGCCTTCGCTCCCTGGCGTTCGCTCTGGCTCGCGTCACTTCAAGTTGTCCTATCTGTCGAGTGTTGTAGTTGTTCTGGACGGCCTGGAATAATCCGCGTAAGTCTGTCGGTTGTCCTGTGTGGAGTATGGATTTGGTGAGAATTAATTAGTGATATTTTAGTAGATTTTAAGCCGACAAAAACCTAAACATGTTGCTTTCCTCTGAAATTCTATCGTAATTATTTTTGCCTGAAATGACACGGGTGCAAAAACTGGCCAGTTTTTGTACTCGGTGAAGTTGCGTGATACCGCATGTTCTTTAAATGGATATGCAGTGACGAACTGCGGACATCACGAGTCCCCCCCCCCCCCCCCATCCCACTGCTTGCCGCAGAACACAGCGCGGAACGAGGTGGCTGGCGTGGATGAGGCTAATGAGTGTACCAGTACACTTAGCTGTCAGTTGGTCATTGTGTGGTTGAAGGGTGAGGTTTCTGTCAATCGTGAGACCCAGATTCTTGACAGCTCTGGTTTCAGTCACTGTCGTTGTTCCACTTTGGATCGTAATTTTAGGAACATCGCAGAGCAGAGATTTTGTTCCAAGCACTAGAAGTTTAGTATTTGCCGCATTCATTTTCATTTTATTCTGGTGAAACCAGGTGGTAAGTTCTGTGAGAGCGGTTTCCAAACGAATGATGATATCTGCAAGCTGCTCTTTACGGCCACTAGCGAGCAGCTGGGTATCGTCGGCAAACGGGACCACTGTGGAGCTGCCGGTATGCAGGTTCATTTCGTTCGAAAATGTGGAAAACATTAAACAATTCAAGCTTAGACCCTGATGGACTCCGGTTGTGTTTGGCAGTGACTATGAGAGGATTTCACTTCCGTCCCTCCGAGCTGTTTTGTTGAGTGTGTTCCTCAAAATACTTATCTAGCCAGTGGCTGTTTATGCCGTACATATTCAGGTTACCGAGTTATTTTCCGTGATCGATCCGGTCAAAACATTTTGGACAATCCAGGAGCACTAACAGAGCAATTTTACCGGAGTCTATCGCACGATACACGCGGTCAGTCACTATAGTAATTCAGTCTCAGTTGAATGATGACGTCTGTATCCGTACTGTGAGCATGAAGACAAATGATTTTACTCGAAATAATCGCTTATCTAGCGGTACACGAGTCGGTCAGCTATTTTAGCCACAGCGGGTAGTATGAAAATGGGTGGCCAGTTCGACGCACCAGCTAGATTCTCTTCTTTCGGTATTGGCGTTACAAGTGCGTGCTCCTAACTCGCTGGCACCACTCCTGTGACTAGGCTTGCATTGACAACATCCAGAAGAGCTGAATGATTTCTAGTTGCTGATGAGCGGTTCACTGTTCCAACTGAGGAGAAGGCCAATTGATTTCCCAAAGGGGCCACTTCATAGCGAAGGGGATATCGCATTGAGGTGAAGGTCTTGTGTGATGAAGGGCCAGGTGTGGTATGAAGCCCATGCCGATTGGCGCCGAGCCTGAGAGAAGGCCTCCTTACTATGCGCTGCAGATGTCTTAGATGGCGAAGGTCCGTGGTACAGCTGGAAGCCCCTGTCATGTCGGATATGATCGTGATGCGGTTGGGCGGTGGCCCTCCCGGGGCTCTGTTTGCCGCGTGTCATGCTGGCTCGATAGGCCATCTGTGTACTCAGTCTCTTATCCCCGATGCTGTCTGCAGGGGACGGGCCATGCCGCCGGTGGAGGAGTGTCACATGTTATCCCCGATGCTGTCTGCAGGGGACGGACCATGCCGTCGGTGGAGGAGGCCGAGGAGCCGTGCCTGTGGCTCTGGCTGCGCCTTTTCAGCGTGCCGTGTCTGGTGACGGTGGTGCTGGTCGGTACGCCGCCAGGACGCTGGTTCGTCCGTAACCGCTTCCGCTGGCCCGTCAACAACAGGATTGGCTGGTGTCTTAAGGTAAGTCAGCTGACGCCCCGTCAGGGGTACATGGGTGTGATGACGCTACGAGGAAGAGGAGAACCGCTGCTTACCATTTGGCCTTAGTATGAGATAAACCGTAGTAAAACAATATACAGAAAACTCACGTACGGTTTAAAAAACGAGCTCGCTTTGCTCATCTCTCGCATGGATTGCCTGGCCTACCCACCCACCCTTCCGCCCTCCCCCTTCCCCCAACCCCCGGGGGCTGGAACCCATTTCCTGCCTCCGCGAACAAAGTTTCGCAAAATTATTTGGGGGGATGACTACCATGTTACGACATCTCCCCGAACCTGGCGGTATAGACCGTTAATTGCCTTTTAGCAACTCTTTGCAAGTTTGGGGCCAACATTCAACGGTCAAGACAATTATTATGGTAATTGAAGTCTTGTTGAAGAGGTACAAACTTCCACTTGCGCCCACATTCCAACTCAGATGGTAAAAAGCCGTAGAATATGGTTGCGGGTTGTGTATATGACTGTTCATTTCAAACTGTATGCAATACATCATTTTAGATGAAAAGGGTCACTAGGTGACGAATGAATATGTAACTTAAACAACCTTTTCAAATTACCTGGAATGCACTGTGATCTCAGAGCTCACCTTGTGTCCTACCCAATGGACCCCTAACATCGCTTCATCCTTTTTAGGTCTTAATTCATGTTCTACTGATCATCATCATGCAGCAGTGACTGAAGACAGTATTCGAGAAGTTTCCATGACCCGTATCATGCCCGTGCTGGCAGGAGCTGCCGTCGCTGCTGATTCCCATCTGGCACCTGTCGGGCCAGACTGGCCCACTGCTCCGGCCACCGTTGCTGCCGCTCTCGCTGTTCGCCGCGCACTACTTCCAGCGCACGTTCATCTACCCGCTGCGCATGTCGGCCGACTCGGCTCGGCCGCTGCCCTACATACTGATGGCAGCGGCCTTCACCACCTGGAACGGCCAGCTGCAGAGCCTGGCGGCACATCGCTGTCCGGCCGATAGTAGCGACACCTATACCACCTTGCACGCCGTTGGTGCTGTCATCTTTGTGCTCGGCGCTGCGATCAACATCGACTCGGACCAGCGACTGCTGGCGTTGAGGAAGCCTGGTGGACCGCGCTACTGCGTGCCCCACGGTGGATTCTTCGAGTTCGTCACGGCCGCCAACTACCTGGGCGAGATGATCGAGTGGTGGGGCTACGCGCTGGTGTCCTGGACACCGGCGGCACTGTTCTTCGCCCTGTTCACCACCGTGTACCTCACCGGCTGCGCGGCAGAACTGCACGAGCAGAACAAGGCTCGCTTCGGGGCTGAGTATCCGCGCGAGCGCCGTCGGATCGTGCCGTTCCTGTTTTGAACGTATTTTGGCGGCCAGTGGGATACAACATGTGCGCTGGGAAGAGAGTTTCTTTCACATTCCAAGGACATAGACGAAGAAAGGTTGGTTTGGCTTTGCTCAGCGTAATGGTGATAACACAGAGCTGGGCAATGAGTCACTCGCTGAAAATATACTTGGAAAAGTAGAGCACGTGTTTTTTGGAGAGCTGCATCCTTGATATAGTGATTTGTCACTTGATTTTGTGCCAAATAAATTCGACGTAATGTAAAGCTCTTCGTGGATGATGTCAAAAATACAGCGCAGGGAGCACGCAACGTTAAGAGCATGCGTTTCTCCATATCCAACTAAGTCATGAAACATGACTCACGGAGAAACAGAAAGTCACCCAGAATTCACTAGCGCGACGTTTTTTCGGTGTCCAACAAGAACTAGCCTTTAATTTCTTGCGCACCCCACGAAACCCATGAGATATGAGCCAACGCGTGAGATGTGGCACGGCCGCTGTCACCGAACCCGGGGAAAGGGAAAGGGGGGGGGGGGGGTCGACTGCCGAACCCTCAGATCGTTTGCTTGGTAGTCAAAGCCAGGACTCCAGGCTATGTACCGGGTAGGCTGGGTCCGAGTATAGCAAAAACATTCGGCAGCCGGCCGCCTTCCGTTCCGAGGACGTGCTCGGAATAGCGGAGAGGTTCGTGCGGCCGCATACCTTACCACGCCGCGCCGGCACAACAGCCGGGGGCCGGCAGCGCGTGGACCTGCACCAGCGCACCTCGGCCAGGCCGGGGCAAACGACCACCAGGGCCGGGACGGTCTTCACCAGGGCCGGAGTAGGGCTCACCAGGGCTGGGACAAGGGCCGTAACGGCCCGGGCAGGGCTCACAACGGCCGGGATAATGATGGTCACTCCCAGACCTGTGTCTGGGCCCCCGAAGAGAGTCAAGATCCAGTAGATCTTTCCACAATTTTCTTTTTAATCACAAGTGTTGCATGGTTCTTCCACGTTTTTTTTATGATCCCACATTCCAGAAGATTCTTCGACAACAACCATGTTTCAAAAAAGGTCCTGAATGATGGAAGATTCGGCAGTTTTTTCAAAGATCCAGAACCACAGAATATCACAAGATCTTAGAACCTGGAAGATCCTTCGTTATAAATATGTCATCGCAAGTTTTAGATGAAACAATTTAGCACATCATGGCACAACCTATCATACACCGTATGTATCACCATAAGCAGAGGACGTGGCCACAGGTGTGCCAGTGGCGCACACACGCCACCATGAAAAAAAGAAGTGTCGCCTACTTTTTGTTAATGATGTAGTAAACAAGCCAACATAAGCTCCCTCTGCAGTATCACAGCAAGAAGCTTCTAAGTGGTAGTGAAAAATTCAGGTTAAGCACTGCAAAGACTTTGGAAGCCTGTTGGCCTTCAGAGAAAGAAGAAGTTCATAATATTTATCTTTATGCGCATGAGCCTGTATCTTTATGATACAGATTAAAACACCAATAGCAGCGTAAGGTGAAAAATGGTGAGAATATTTATGCCTTTTGGCATTTGCCATAAACTAGACTTGACCTTTGATCATTGACCATCTTGCACACATGTCTCTATGAGACATGACTCGATTGTCATTAAGATGACAAGAAGACAATGAGAGAAAGGGCATGACATTTACTATCTGTATAGCAGTGGAATGAATTGAGGTTCATACAATGACTGTAAAACAGCCCTGTGCGCCACTGGACTGGCTATCGTATCTACCTACAACACTTCACGCAACTATATAAATGTACCTGGAAGGGTTCTTTGACAGAATGTTAAGCGAACTACGACCTCACAGGATCTTTTAGAAAACCTTCAAAAATCCAAGATTGCATTGCATTCTTGGCCAAAATAAAAAGGCACAGGAGTTCAGAAGGTCATTTCGCAAAATGCCAACAAGATCTTTGGTTTCAAAATACTTTTTGACAAGCTCGCAGATATGATCCAGGATAAACAAAATCATTCGAGGAAATGTTAGAAAAGATCCAGAAGCACAGGAAGTCTGACATTCAAATCTTAGGCATCCGATCGCGGGGTCTTTTTTGCTGATCTTGGTAGATCCCTGGTGGTCAGGCTATTTGTTTTTGTGAAACAACGCCGCAAAAATAACTAATTTACGAGGGGAAGACCGGCGCCTTCACTCATTTTGTGCATGGTGTCCCACCCAAGGCTATCTAACGAGGTAGAACCGTCCGGTCCGAAAAAGTGGCAACATCGAGCTTGCGTGAGAATAGAGGTGGTTTGGAAGCAAAGCCTACATGACGTCAAGTATACCATATTTGATGACGTCAGTGGCACGGAGGCATCTCAGTTAGCCAGCTGACTGCTACACAATCCATTAGTTTGAATAATGGGTATGTTTTGGTGGCGTGCTCCTGGCGGTTCCCCGTTTGACTAAAAAAAAATTATCCGTCATTTCGCTATTCGCACACATTTTTGGAATGAACAGTGAGTCCTGGAACAGTTTAGCCTTATCAGAATGTACGATTTTTGCATGCATGATGATATAACACGGGGTTATATGCCATGCGGCGTTTGTGGTGTATTGCATTCCATGACCAGGCTTGTCGTTAGATAGCCTTGGGCTTGTCCAAGGCTGGTTTGTCGTTAGATAGCCTTAGGCTTGTCTGTGCCTTTTGTGCCTGGTGGCAGAGTTGAACAGCTCAACTTGCATAATTTGATCTGTCTATAGGTATGATTGCATGAACATTTGCAATATTGATTTGTATTAGCTTCCACTCTTCTTATCACAGTGATGTGAGTACAGTAAGGTAAGTACAGTAAAACCCTATGATATTGGCCTTGTGATGCTACAGTCAAGTGTTTTTTACATAAAGGTTGTACACATATGCATAATAAAATATTCAGACCGAGCATTTTAAATGCTACCAATCGTTCAAGACAAACTGCACGGGAGATCTCTCGTACAAGGCGTAGTCATGGCAACTGATCGCAACCCTCTGACATGAAGCGCCAAGCAGCTGCGATACGCGATGCGCTACAAACGCCGCTTGACGTTTAACCCCTAGTTATGTACACCCCACGGAAGAATATAAAATTATGATGAGGTTAAACTGTTCCGAGATTCAATCTCTCTTCCAGAATTGTGTTTGCATGACAAAACCACGGACCATTCATTCAGAGTCCAACCTGGAAGCGCCAGCCGCACGCCCCAAAACGTACTCGCCATTCAAACGAATGGGTTGTGTAGCAGTCAGCTGGCTAACTGAGAGGCTTCCGTGCCACTGACGTCATCAAATATGGTATACTCGACGTCGTGCAGGCTTTGCTTCCAAACTACCTCTATTCTCACGCAAGCTCGATGTTGCCACTTTTTGATAGTGTTAAACGATACGGATGACACCCCCCTGGTCCCACCCAAACAGTCACCAATCGGCAGCGGCGGTGTTGACCAGGCCATCGACTTAGTTGTTGACGTTTTTGAACACGTGGAATGGTTCTTTGTTATTCTCCGTTTAGCGCATACCAAAACGAACTCTATCCATTCCGAACATTTTCCATAACGAGACCGATAATTGTTGAGCATTGATCTTGGATACGACATTTGGGAGACTGGATCTATCAGACTAAAAATAACGATTTGACATATCGATTCTCTGTAAACCATCCTTGCCTCTCTCCAGGCCCATCTTTGCTTCCTCGGCCTAATTCCCGAAACCAAGCGAAGCTTGGCCACCACAGCCGGGAGAGGGCCACAACGATCGTAGTAGGGATCACAACGGGCGTGGAAGAGGACGCCACGGCCGGGACAGAGATAGTAATCCCTGACACGGCGTGGTGACCCTTGGTCGAGCTGTCCCTGTCCCGGCCGTGGCTTCCATGACAAAAGGTCAAGGGACAAAAAGCTTAAGGACAAAGATTGAAGAGCAAGAAGTCAGGAAAGCAGAAAGGCAGAAGGACGGGAAGTCAAATGGCATTAACCCAACATGATGAGAGCCAAATGCACAATTTAAAACAGGCGACAAAGCAATATGACAAGAAGGTAATCTAGACAAGATGCGGCCTCCCTCCAGGTAGGGTGGGGGTGCTGGGTGAGGTTTTTCAACGCGCCGCTTAAGTTTGGGCTGTAATAGGGCAAATAAACATTGAGAGCGACCTATTTCCACTCCCCAAAACTAACATACTTGCCTAGTTTGGAGAAATTGAATTGATCTTTCGTCTAGTGACTGCGGTCCGAGAAGGCAAAGAAAGCTCTTTTTTCTAGAACTCACGGAGAGTCGTAATAGCTACATTGCTTGGGGCATTGTTTTGTTGTGTGGAGGGATTTTTCGCGCTTCGTAGCTATTGCTGACGTTTTTAATCGGCAATCTTGACGCCAAAACCGAGGTTGAATGCGAGCCGGCATTTTGCAATGCATTACCTATCGAGACGCGGACCTGTGTGCGTTGAGACTGATCGTGGTCAAGGGCGAGGCACGAGCCAGAGGTCGCCGATTTGACGGCAGCGTTTGCTTAAGTAACATGGAGGACAATGAGCGCGCATCACAATGGCGGATTTTTTACTAATGATATCTGTTCGGTTTTTTCAGCGTTACCTTGCTAGAAAGGCATACTTTAATTTAACAAGGTGGCAGGTAATAATGATAAAAGAGAGTTGGACAGCCCTGAAAGGCGGAAAATTTCCTTTTAAATGTGACTAGGTTTGTCACTTGATGCTGAACAACCAGACTTTTGATAACTATGGACAAAGATTGATTTGAAATCGCCAGAGTGTTGCCGATGCGAGCATGTGTGGTGGAGTCATTGTATCTGGCTAGCGAGTGTGGGTGATAGAGGAAAACCTGTGCATGGGGGAGCAGGTCATAGACGATCTGTCACTCCTTATGTCTTAACGAAGATGGAATGATCACCAGCTGCGGTGTGAATTAGGGACCTTTAATCCAGTGAAAAGCTTTTCATGGCCTTCTAATGAAGAACAGGGGTATTTCAGAAGAGCAAGGCACTTAATAAAAAACTTTCTGGCATAGAACGGGCCTTTCTGATTTATGGAGGGTGTTTCCTAATCCGGAAAATGGGTTTTCGGATGCGTAAAGAGGGCCTTTAGAGCCAGCCCCCCCCGGCTTAACACAAAACGAGGGCTCCTGATCAAAAGCAGGGCCGGTCTCGTTCATAAAAAGGGCTTTT